AAAGAATTTATAGAATTTTGCACAGTTTTATCTACTTCAGCCATAATTTGTGTAGCATCAGATGATTTTTATGACTTACATATTCAATAGCGCGTCTTTTTCACATATTGTTAAGTAACCACTGACATATGTACCAAACTGCAGATAATACCTAGTAAACACATGCTTAAATGGCCAACACACACTACGAATGATAAGACAACACCCGACTAAGATAAAAACTTTCATATTCAACTGTTTTATACTCGGACTATACTGGAGGCACCAAGGCTTCACTACCACTGACAAACTAATGAAAGACACGGTAGAGTAATGAAAGACCTTGACCTTCCTTCTACGTAATCAGCTCTAATACAAAAAACGTACCTTCAATCCAAATATCACCTAGACTGACGGACTGTCGGAATGTCAGCACGCGAGGTGTTGCCATGTCGTCAATCTATATCCTTTTGAATAACGCAGAAAAGTCTTTGATAATTCCTTTCATGAAATATTTGGAAACATTCACGGAATATGGGTCTTCAAAACTGTCTAAAGGAATTCCGGGACTTGTTTACCTGAAAACAAAATGAAATAATTTATGCGATGAATTATAAATGAATAATGGATTCCCAAAGCCTAAACGACATCCCGAAGCATGACGGCTGTGACATTTTGTCTCTCGTTGACACTGGAAATTTAAGTTATCAGCAGATACCATCAAACACTCGTCACAGTTCCGCTATATCACAAGCACACTCAATTGTTTATGCAAACACCTACTTTAATGAGCACTAAAAAGGCTGTTATATTGACAAATTAGTTTCCCTTTTGGATTTTTTGAAACTTTGAAACAGAATTATCAACTGAAATTCGATCATACGGCTAAATTTTATGATGTCAATGACAATTCAAGCCATTTGTTAGGTTTTCAATATAGACACTATCTCGTTTCCCAGAAACGGGAATTTTCCAGCTCACTTCCTACCACTTCCAGTTCGGGTGATACATGTTACAGGTAATACTATTTTATTGGTAAATACATATATAATTGCCGAGTGTTTACATTTGAAACTGTTGCTTTATCTCTGCTGATTCCTGTTTTAGTGTTTTATAGCAGCTGCGAAAAAGAGGTCAACAATTTTCACTTTAATCCACCGAGGATATGATTCCGTTAAGAGAGAGACTACAGAATACGTCTGGTTTACAGGAAATGAGAATGGAATCAACTTCATGATTATTAGAAGGGTAAAAGTAAAGCATGCAAGAACTATCCTTCAAGTTGGCAACTTATAAACGGTGTCGTTTCCCCCCAGTCCAATGTATTTATCTAATTTTATATAGAAATTAGATTAATACATTGGACTACGGAAAAACAATAACGATTCTACGGATGCCTAAGTCATTCCACGTTGCCACAAATTGGCAACCTCGATACATTCCGAATTCATTCTATCCTTAAAACAATAAAACATGTCAATCTCACTTGTTAAATCAACAGCTACCTTGACAAGCGGATATATCTTTGGTTCTGTTACATTTTCCTTTCCTTTTCACCCACTTTTATTTCTAACTATACTTTGCTATGTTTAGTATTACAGTTGACCATAGACAACGTTTATAATTTGCTAACCTGAAGGATAGTTCGTCCATGTTTTACTTCACGCTTCTGATGATAATGAAGTGGGTATATAAATAGGTCCCCCATCGAAAAATTGACCATGAAACAATTTAAATGTAGATTTTATTTGGCTTTGAAATCAACTTTTTGGGAATTTACATGTGTACCATTTGATGCCCTATAAAGGGTTCTTCCTATTTGGACCAGGCTTTGGTTACAAAGGGGTCAGGACTAGAGACAGCATGCATTAACGTACATTGAAGATTTCAGAGATTGATTCAACCTTGCAACCTCAAGTTGAGAGCATAGAGACAAAGTCTAAGCGTGTGTTCAATCATCCACAAAGTCTTTAAAATATCATTACGCCGACCGACAAAATTATATCTCATTAGTGTCCAACTCTAGATGTGTATTAAAAGGTGCTATGCACCTTTGTGTTTTGTACAATCTTTGAGATTGCAGGTAGTAGTCACCGGAGTTTTCCGTAACCTGTATGGCACGTTTTAATTCAGTCAAATAGTGGCACCATTCAGAATATATACAAGTAATTTACATTCTTCTAAAAATTTCAGATAAATGGAAATAGCGAAAGTGATTGAATTATGGGGATAGTGCACCTTCCGATTTAGATTTTAATATTTCTTTCAATCAATTTCGAGTTTCCTCAGTCTAGTCCTTGACTTTAGATTTTGGGCCTTTAACATCACTTAAGAGCCACGGAAGGACAAAACAGCTGTATGTTTACGTTTTATTCGTTGTTTGTACCGTATCAAAAACTCTTGATATGTGTCTTTATGTAGAAATGCCGTTTCCAGTACCATTGATAGTAAAACCCTGGACGGCTGTTTTAGCAAGTTTAGAAAAGATTCACAAAGAGACTTGTCGAGCACAGAATTATAGTAGTTCAATGAATATGGAGGATGGCATACCCCTTCCGCAGAACTTGGTGTCCCTTCTGGAATTATCGTACGATATTTGGACAACGATCTAAAAGAATTGTATATCCTGCAGGATATAGGATTACCAGAGATGCAACAAGACAGACGGCTTTCAGAATCGGCATTTGGATCTACTTAGGGTCAGCTCAATTGATGTCGTTAATTCCAAATCTGAATGATACCAGATACACGTGTCTCATTTCACTTCGTTTTCTGTACAATAGAGATAATATCTTAGAATGAAGAGTAGAAAACCCCGGAAAACAGAGATCTAATTTTGCAGATAATGTAATAGACTTTTCTTCTATGTTTTAACTGAGTAAGAAGGATCTTCACTCACGATTTGGCGAGTGTGAAAAAGATGCCGTCAGTAGGGAACAGCAAGGAAATCAGTTCAACAATTAACACATCATTTTAGGTCACTATTTATCTCGCTAATATAATCATGGAGACCCTTTGCAACATTACAGAAGTCGAAATAAAATCACATCGAAATATTACACACTACACGTATATAGTGATGCCAGTCCCAGTTCTAACCGATATATGCATACCAGACCGAAAGTAGGCTACAGACTTCGTCGTCCATAAGAAGGTGTGTCGCAATATAAAGGAAAATTGAGATAAATATGCCTCCTTCAATTTCTACTTTATGTCTACTTACAGGACAATTCTCTCTGGAAACAATTCTAAATCGACAAATCAAATCACACATTTCCGCCTAGCTTATCAATTGAGCATGATATTACCCACAGACAACTGGTTCCATTGGCGACGAACTCCAGTCTAATCCAACAACAAGCACTGCCTGATATGTGCACAAATCCTTAGAGACACACCAAGAAGACATATTAAAAGAAATTTGCAAGTGGTCAATATTGCTGGCAACACAACAAACAAAAATCGCATTGAATGGGATATATATTCTCAAAGATCTCAGTGTTTATTCGACATCAGGTTGTTAGTGTTGAAACAAAGCAAAATTTGAATATAATTCGAAATAAATTACGTATTTGTATACATCAACTCATTTTTTTCGATGACCGCAGTTTTGGAAATGACTGCCTTCGCACGATCTCACGAGAATGTTTATATAAAATATTTGGATTTGTAACACGTAGTAGTCGGAATTTGAATTTGACATAAAAAATACAATCCATGTGCATGCATATCGACATAGTCTACCAAAAGCGAAACGAAGGATGCAAACAGAATGGGGCATCATTACAATCAACAGGTGATACCATCAGTTCAATATCATTGGCGACAACGCCGCAGTAAAAACGGTTTTGACATATGATAGTGATAACACTATAATAAACCGGCGATATCACTAGTTGGGTAGGTGATATCACTAATTCATTAAGGTCACATCTCATAATCGTTTCTTTTTAATTTGGTAAAATCGCTTTAATGATTAGGTGATACCATTCATTCAGTATCGAGATAACACCTATTCAATATCGTGGTATCGCATATTCAGTATCGTGGTATCGCATATTCAGTATCGTGGTATCGTCTATCCAGTATCGTGATAGCACCTATTCAATATCATGGTATCGTCTATTCAGTATCGTGATAACACCTATTCAATATAATGGTATCGTCTATTCAGTATCGTGATAACACCTACCCAATATCATGGTATCGTCTATTCAGTATCGTGGTATCGCATATTCGATATCGTGATATCGCCTTTTCAATATCGTGATATCGCCTGTTCAATATCGTGATCTCGTCTATTCAGTATCGTGGTTTCGCCTATTCAGTATCGTGGTTTCGCCTGTTCGTTTTGTATTTTTTTTTTTTTTTCACATTGTTGTCACTAAAACGGTAAACATGTAGTGGGAACAAAATCTAATCAGTTTTAAGTAGAATTGATAGTAGCCACTTTAAACATGTTTACAGAATGAATATTCGTTTTGACAATATATATGTTTGCCGGACACTGTGATAGAAATACAATTAAATCTTTGGGTACATATCTGATACGTGTCTTCCTGTGCTCCTATGCTAATGATTTTCATGATCAAGAATCAGACATTTCCAAGAGATCAACATTTCTAGCCTTATTTCATCATATAAATTCTACATTCTACACAGTTTCTTTTCCTTTCTCATTTTTTTCCTATCAAAGTGTTAATACCAAACCAGATCTCTAAAATTAATTTGGCTGTGTGTGCTAGCAATTATTTTCTTTTATGTATAGTTTGGAATATATTCACGTTGATTTGGAAAAAAACATCAAGTTTGAAAATGTATTTAAGTTAAGTAACCACTGAGCGACCAACCTGTGTCAACCATACATCTCAAAAGCTTCAAATCTCCCGCGAATAAAAGTCACGTGACCAACAACGAAACAAAGATGGCGGTCAAAATAGCAACGAGTAGTTGAAACATGGCGGACAACGCTCAGGTGCTCTGATTGTTCGCTACTGTTTGCTTCGAGTAATTACGACAACATGGATATCAGTATTCGCAAGTTACTCACAACTGCCCAAAAATTATCAGGTAATAAAAGTGTGTATAACAAATGTCAAGCTTGTCACTCTGCAGATTCTACTGGGTCAGCCGACAGTCTCTCTGACTATATATGCCTACAGTACAGACGTACAAGTACTAGCTTATTTTTTCCACAGAAACACGCCTATTTGAATTTCAGTGAATTAAATGGCTTTTAACAAAAATGATATAATATTGTATTTATTGAAAAATCTACATGAATGCAACGTCTTTATGTTGAATGTCGTCTTAAAATCATACAGTCGTTTTAAACCATGAACTTATTTATCATCTTTCGGAGAATGTGTACTGAAACTTTCGTTTCGTTGCCATGTATTTCAATGTGTGTAGTTAATTCTAGTGATCATTACTGTATTGTACCAAATAAGAAAAAAATAAATACAAGGCATACTAATCTAGTGGATAGGATAGCAGACAAAATTGAACTGAAAATCTTGAACTGATGAAGTCAAGCGAATACGTTAAAGTGATCAAGAGCATGAAAAGTTTTCATTACAACACTGATGGTCAAACATTTTTATATCATGAAACATATATATGGTATATTTTCATCATTGGAAAGAACAAAAATTGGGTAGTCAACAGTATAGAACTAAAATATGTGTTAAAGGTATATTCTGCCAAAGTTGCAAAATTTCTGACTGTTCTGTGATTCTTAAAAACTTGTTCTAATGACTTTTAAAATCATTGTAAGCAACAAAATATCTCTCCTGTTATCGGTTTGACAGGAGAAATTGGTGGGAATAGTCTGAGTCAATATGAATATAACTTTTTGGTAGGTTAACGGACACAACTACTGGATGAATTGATTTTCCCTTGCACTTGCAGGTCCAGATAATCCACCATTGAGTGAAGCATTTGAAGTCCTCAGAAATGTTGCAGAAAACAAACCATCTGTGGATGCACCAGAAGCCTTTGGGCAGGATCTGTACGTTATCTGTGCAGAAATCTCCTTCCAGGTATTGTAAATTATGAAATATTGAGAGCTACACATCTAACCCATTGTCATCCTTGAGAGTCACTTGACAAAGAAATCAAAATCAGAATGGTGAGATTCTTATGGAGGATATCTAATTTCCTTTATAATTTTCTTCTGAAAATGTCATTAAACTATTGATGGTTACAGAATTTGATGTAAATTGTTAGTTTTTATTTTATTTACAGACAAATATGAATTTATATCCATCTGACAATTTTTAGATTACTCATATTTCATTATTAATTAAATACTTTTTTTCCAGAATGGTCTTTATGACATGGCGAGGGACTGTCTCAAAATGTTCTTCATGAAACCACCACCTGCAAACCAGTTTTTGTGCAGAGCATATCTATGTCAGGCTCAGCTTTTAGCCCCACAGAAAGCAAATAACCCAGTAAGTAATGTTGGATAGTAGCTGAAAAATCCAGTGTTTGCAAAAATTAGCCTATTCATGCAAACAATCCTAGTTCCAGTAATTAAAACTTTGCAGATGTCACATGCATATGTAAAGTAACTCACTTGGCAACCAAAAGATGTTACTAATAAAATGATATAGTGTGCATGTACAGCAGACAAACAACCTTATATAGAATTTTACCTTGTTGACTGAATATACATAAATTATATATATTTTAATGTACTTTTACACAGTATTTTATAAAGTTTCTGTAGTTTTTCACTTACCAGTATAGCAAGGATTTAGAAAAATAGTATGTAAGTCAACATTAATCTAAACATATCATACATTTTGTGTATATTGACATAAAACAACTTATATTTTATTTTCAGGAACAACTGGAAAAAGCAGTAGTTTATTTATTGAAAGCTATCTCATTTGCAAAGAAGAATGTGAGGTAAGTTTGCCCTACAGGATGATATGGAATTTCCCTTTTTTGAAGTGAAGGTAATTATCATACAAACTTTTAATATCCTGGCCATTCTACAAAACACTGGTAATGTTATTGTAATTTGGAGTCACTGATTGAAATCTGTTATACATGTGCATACTTACATGAGTATATATCTAGCCTTTGGCAAGCATGATTGCAAATATGTTTGATTGATACACTTTTATATTATCAGACATCACAAGAACTTTTATCCATATCTACAGGTATCACTTTCTGGTCTACAATGCATCCGTGATCTACTGGCAATTTTGTCGTCCATTCCTCAAGCCTAACTACAAACAGTTCTTGGCGCGTGGTCTTCACCAGGTGGTTAGGGCACTTGACGACATTGATGACAAAGACTTTGAATGGCGTGCTCAGCTGATGATGTATGTTTAATAAAATCTAACAAAATATCTGATTCTCTCAGCCTCTGCCAGGTCAAAGTAAAAATGATCATTTAGAGAAAACCAATACCCAATGTTAGAGTCTCATTCTAACACATATTTCTTGAGGATTTTTTTTTTTTTTGAAAATTTTTACAAAATTGAGTTTGAGAATACCTCAAATATGTTCTAGCTTCCAAGGTCAATTGCAGCATAAAAGTATGGTTAGCAACTATTTACCTAGGAGCCGGCATTTTACTTGTTTAAAATATTAAATAATTGTTCTTTGACTTAGCTTTCTCGAATATATTTTTAAAGAAAGATAGTTGAAATGAAAAATAATTATATGTCCTGATATTGCTAATTATGTAAGATACATTTATCAGCGAAGCACTATATGAAACAGTTCAGTTAAAGTAAATCTCAAATATAAATACTCAAGAATTGCTTAATGCTGAAATGGTGCAACAACAACTGCAGTGTTGCTTCCTTGGTTTCAACTGCTCACCTTTTTGAACATGATATGTTTTTCAAATTGTTTCAGAGCTTTGATTGAGTGTCATTTAGATGCTGGGAAGAGGAATGATGCTGCTAGTATAGCCAATCCAGCTGTTACCTTCATCAAGACTAACGTACCTCATCTGTACAAAAAGGTGTTTGGGATCATTGTAAGTTCTGGTTTGAATATCATCTCTGAAAAGATGTGATCCAAACTTCATATACATACTCCCAAATAGATATGCTAATCACTAAGCAAAGACACACACCCTCTCCCATCACATTGTATAAATCTTCTCTGAAACTGCATAGGTTATGATTCTTTATTATAGGATAACATTGTCATTGTTTTCACACATCCATTGTGGATATGAAGTTACAGCCTAGTAGAGTTTTAATGTGAGGAATTATTGTTAAATATCTGTGAGTCAGGTTCAGTTTTCAATACACGACACATTTTTTTCCTATTACTTATATTTTACACAATGTACTTTTAAATAGGTAAGAAACCAGTTGCTAGAGTCTGCCAAACTGCACAAAGATGTCAAGAACTCTGCAGAATTAGCAGTGTACTACAAGATTTTGAAACTCAAAGTGTAAGTTTATTGATCAAATCATTGTCATGCTAACTTTGATTTCACTGAACGCAACTTCTGATGATATGATAAGGTACCTGTTTTCAAAACGTCATTAATTTGTGTGGAAGCACTATATTCATTCAGTAATAAGTCTATATTTGATAAAAAGCCCATCCATATTAAAATAATAATTTTCAATGTTATTTCAGGGTTTGTAGTAAGGCCAACACCCTGGGCTTGTCTGAAGATAAATACATTATACCTTTGGAACTTTCTTGATTGAGATAGAGGTCATAGTTGACTGGAAGTTTTCCTGTGAAAGTATATCACATAAAAGTCTAAAATATGTTGAGAGATAAGTACATAAAATATAAGTTGTATGTAATTGTATGTTCCCAGCCTTTTCTGTAGGACAAATACTCAGCAAAAATGGTGAGCTTCTATTTGAATATGCTGTGTTGTTACATATTGTTTCTAATTTATTTACCACAGAATATTTGATTTTCTTGTGTAACCTAACTTTATCGCCACTTTGTAGATCTGTTGACTTGAATGAACAACGAGAGTACTACAGTGAGGTACAGCGTATCCTTAACCAAATGGGTGTTACTCAAGGTGGGGCTGATGACACCAATGCCCAAAAGACAGAGAAGGGGCGTGGCAAGAAAGGGGGGAGAACTGCAGCTAGTCCCACTCCTGGGAGTCGACTGGAAGATGATAGAGAGAGGTACATTTTTTCAACAGCATTTTAAAACCTGTTCAGGTTTTAGCACTTTACATAACATTGACACATTAATAATGATATCCTTTATTTTTTCCTAAATCAGAAACTGTGTTTAAGAAGGAATTGGTAGAAATCACCCCTTATCAAAATTTTAGCCAATGTCACAACCAGTTTCCATGTATGATTTTTGTTAGACTTTAACTGTAAGTTCAGATGATAAGCAGTTAAAGTGGCAAACTGATGAAGATACTTCAAACTTTATTGATATGTAGTAAGCAGATATAGACCTGTTACTGAACATATGATTTCTTGTTAATGATGGATCATTCCAACTTTATCAAAACAAGGATTTAAAGACTTCAGTGACAGTGACCATACTGTAAACATATCTGTTTTATTGGCATTGTGGCTATACTCTAAAAGCAATATAGAATTTCTGGAGGTAGGTATGTTTTAACTTCAAAGATTATGATGATATCGCATTACAGAGCAGTGTAGCTTTAACCATTTCAATCAGATATAGGAAGATAATGTAAAGAGTTGGTTGATTGCGAAGATAATTAATAATGACATTGCATATGTGACTTTAAAGTGTAAGGTCTAGCTCATCAACTCCTGATAGACCTCGCCCTGACCTTGTACGTAAAAATTCATCACAACGGGTGTAAGTATACTCAGCTCTGGGTGTGATGACCTAATGAAAGATTTTTGGTCTGGAATTGTGGAATTGATGATCTAATCTGAAGTCAGGGCTTTCCAGAAATATGTCTATACAATGTGGGCCATCAAAAATTGATAAAACACTGTGTATAATCAGTTGTAGAGAAAATGCAGTTTGTTATATGATACTGTTTAAAGTTACTTATTTTTGGGTCCCTGTTTGGCCAACCTTGCTTCCCCATCTGAGATAGACAGTTTTCTTTGATAGCCCTTAGCATTTTCTTTTTTACAGGAATTTGTTTGGCTAGTTTAGTTCTAATTTTGTCCCTGATTGAAGGGATGTGTTTGGCTAGTGTTCTACTGGCATTATAACATACTGCTGATTACACATCAGAAGAAATATTGGACCCTTGTCATTTGTATACTGTGAAACAGAAGTGTTCATGAAACTTCACTTCAGGATATGTAAAAATGTACAAAACTTTTCAGAAGGCAAATTATAATATGTGATGTTATATCTCTAGCTATAATCAAACATATTTTGGAGTTGTTTTTAACATTTTGGATGAAATAAAAAAAAATTGTGCAGCCCAAGTAAAAACATCTTTAACATGTTTTATTGTTAGAAGGCAAGCCCTTGAAAATTACAATTTCTTCTTGCAATCTCTTTGAAAAATATATAACTTGCTATATACATATTTTTTATTTGAATCTTTCCTGGTTGATATATATCTGTTGTGTTGTTTTGACCACATGCAAATTCCTTGATAAAATGAAAAAAAAAACTTATTGATTTGCTGACCCAGACTATTATCAAATCATTTAGTGTTTGATATTTTTACTTTGTGATCTAATAATGATGTACATGACAGATATTCTGTTAAATATTGGTTTAGTAATGTGTTATAGAATAATTTGGTATTCATAGTTTAGGTTTTCTTGAAAACTGTGTCAGTTATATGAAAAATTCAGTTTAGATATAAAATTTAGAAATTGCTTTATCAGATTTTCTTCCAAACTCACTTTGAATGATACATATATTTGTATTGATTTTTTTTCGTTAATTAATATGCCGTGCTATTTTTCTTTGTTCTGAATGACAGAATCTTGTTGTGGTTGAAACAACTGTGACTTGTGATACTTCCTGTTAATATAAAAGTAAATTAGAGTTGTGTCATCATGTTGTAAAAGTTGACATCAAAATGATAAGATGTTTTAATTTTTGGGATGTACAATACATTTTTATGCACATTCAATAGTCTGAAGACATGAAAACATGGAAGCATTAAATCAACATCAAAATCAGTTTACTTTAGTTTATGTCTAACTTATAAAAACATCAGTAAGCTTTTGACTTGTCTCTCACATCAATCTTAATTCAACCTGATTTAACCAAGCATTATAGTAATTTTGATGTGGAAGAGTGTTAGTGTTTCAACTCATGAAGATTTGAATTTCGAAAAAACAATAATAATGATGATAATAATAGTGATATTTGAAATCGTCAAACATGCCAAGATAGTTTTTCCTTTTTTAATTTTTTTTTCTTTCATAAAATGATTATGTTTTGGGAAAAAGTTTTTTACCTAATTAACTAATCATTGATTGATTGTTTTTGTTTAAAAGGAGGAGTGGTGATAGATGTGTATTTTCAGTTGAGTTCTATTAATGTTTTTACTTTCTTTTCTGCAGCATTCAGAATTAATTATTAATTATTATTACAAATTGTCTCCTATTGACAATTCCCTAGATTTAATTACTTAAACATTATCTAGTTTACTAAATATTTATGCACTTTTGTTTGATTTAATTTAGTTGATTTATGTGATGTTTTGTTTTCCCAGTCCCCAGTCTCAACATTCTGAAGTGTCTCAGAGTGTTTTCTTGGACTCTGAGTTGTAAGTTATATAACACTCACCAACTGTGCATGTCTAGATTGTAGGTTTGATGTAGTTTTGTAAGGACGTCTACTGGTTCTGTCGTTTGTTAATGTACCTAGCAGGATGATGTAGAGACAGCTAAAGTGTCAGTATTTCAATAATAATACTTGAAGGTCAAATATCAATTCTAATAGTTGATGGTTAAATCACTTTAAATTGATTAAGGAAATATTTTGTTGTACATTTCTGTTGTATCAGTTTCTATTATGTTTACGTAGCTGGATATTTTTCTTTTCTTTTTTTCCCCCCTTTTTTTGATGTATTCTAATTTCTATGCATTTTACTGTTAGATTAAAAAAAACTTGAATATTTGGGTCTAGATATGTCTTTTGATCAGTTGAGTGCGGCATCTAAGAATTAAATCCTATACATCAGCATTTCTAAAAAAGTAAAATGTGTAGATGAATTTTTTTTTTGTATGAAGAGAGATGATTAAATACAATAGACTTAATATCATTGTAGAGCTAGTGTAAGTAATGTTATTAGTCAGAAGTAGAACTTAATCAGAAATACAATGTCCTAATCATAGCACTTACATAATTTTGATGTAATCACTTATAAATAATGGATTCCAGCATGGTGTTCATGTGTGTTAATTAGAAAATAGAAATGCATGATGGTGATTTCACACAATTATTTATGAGCATGGATACAGCAAGTACATGTGTACTTTTAGTATTCATTCCAGATGTGAAGATGATAGTTTTCATTCCAGATGTGAAGATAATAGTTGATGAAATGACATTTGGGAGATATTCTTTAATTATAAAAAAAAATCTAAAAATATGTTGAGAATGAATACTCCAGCTTCATTGGCTTATCGCTTACATAATGCATGATAGCATGATTTTGAGAGAGAGCCCATATTGGTAATTTTTGGACAAAGCTTGGTTGTGATGAACTGTAGGTTTGGATCAGAGGATCAGTTGTACTGTAATCCACCTGATAAAACCTTGTGACAACACAATATGACATCAGGAATGATGTCTAGGGACAAAGTTCATGTTATATAATTTAGTCCAACATTAATTCAAATTTAATGTAAGAGAGAGTCCGGTGGTATATTTATATATGGGTGCATGTGTGTACATAATCACACATGAAATTGTACCATTATCATTAAAATTTCCTCATCATTTTTTCCAAATCTCATAATTGAATTATTTAATATTTGGAAAAATGCTTTTCTGAAGTCTAGTATTGTAAGTGTGAGGTCCAAGAGATGAGGATGTAGATACCAAGTTAACGTTGTTGATGGAATTTTAAGCCCACCATCATCAGATGGTGGGGTATTCAAATCGCCCTGCGTCCGTGGTCCGTTGTCCATCCGTCCGTAAACAATTCTTGTTACCGCTATTTCTGGGAAAGTACTGGATGGATCTTTCTCAAATTTCATATGCAGTTTCCCCTTGGTCCCTAGTTGTGCATTGTACCTTTTTTTTTTTGACTGATTTGAATTCAAGATGGCAGACAGGCAGCCATTTTGGATTTTGGAAGTAAAAGTTTGTTACTGCTATTTCTGGGAAAGTACTGGATGGATCTTTCTCAAATTTCATATGCAGGTTCCCCTTGGTCCCTAGTTGTGCATTGTATTTTTTTTGGACTGATTTGAATTCAAGATGGCTGACAGGCAGCCATTTTGGATTTTGGAAGTAAAAGTTTGTTACCGCTATTTCTGGGAAAACACTGGATGGATCTTTCTCAAATTTCATATGCAGTTTCCCCTTGGTCCCTAGTTGTGCATTATAGATTTTTTGGACTGATTCAAATTCAAGATGGCGGACAGGCAGCCATCTTGGGAGTTTGAAAGTAAAAGTTTGTTACCGCTATTTCTGGGAAAGTACTGGATGGATCTTTCTCAAATTTCATATGCAGTTTCCTATGGTGGCTGATTTGGGACATTGTAATATCGCTTCGTTTAATGGGAAGCGAGATTGCAATATCACGACAACATGATGTGCTATCATGGTCTCGCATCGCTCTATTGTGTTATCGCTTCTTGCTATCGTGGTGTCGTGATATCGAAATCTCGATTCCCATTAAACGAAGCGATATTACGATGTCCCGAATCAGCAACCATAGTTTCCCCTTGGTCCCTAGTTGTGCATTGTACCTTTTTTGAACTGATTTGAATTCAAGATGGCTGACAGACAGCCATCTTGAATTTTGGAAGTTAAAGTTTGTTATCGCTATTTCTTGGAATGTACTGGATGGATCTTTCTCAAATTCCATATGCAGGTTCCCCTTGGTCCCTAATTGTGCATTTTACCTTTTTGGACTGATCCGAAATCAGGATGGCTGACAGGCAGCCATCTTGGATTTTTAGAGTAAAATCTTATTATCGCTATTTTTGAGGAAGTACTGGATGGATACTTCTGATATTTCATAGGTATTGGTTTCCCTTGGTCCCTAGTTGTGCATTGTGCTTTTTTTGGACTGATTTGAAATCAAGGTGGTCCACAGGCAGCCATCTTGGATGTCGACAGTAATACAACACAAGCATATTTTCTTTGATATTCTATCATATTGATTCAAGACCATGTCCATTATCCACCTGTAACTGACTGCTTTCTAATAATACTTTGGGATCTTTTTCAAATGATATTTGCTAATAGGTGCTTAATAAAAATATCTTGTGCCATCATTGAGTACATTCAATGAAGGCCAGTTCATGAACATTTACAAAACCTGTAACAAAAAAAAAAATAAACAAATTTGCAAGAACTGAAAACAGATCCTCAAATGGTGGGGGCCAAGATCCCACTGGGATCTCTTGTTAATGAAACATTTGCTTTCTTAGTTGAGCAAATTTAATCTCCGATGTTATTGTGATCGCATTACCTCTTATCATCTTACATCATTGAGTTTGTATCGTTCCCTTTAACCCTTATTCACCAGTCCATCAAAATATCCCTATTAAATAATATCTATTGTCTCAATGTTAAGAAATTTTCCTTTTATGACTTTTTGAAGAAATCGCAATGTATCCAGCGGTGAGATGATGAGGTGAGATTTATTATCTGACTGACTCTTGTTTTCACACATTCTGGCCGAGTCAGATTTCACAATATGACCGACAAAGGTTTCACAATCACTCTGCACGACGTGTCAATGTATGCACAAGGTTAAGGTGGTGACAGAAATGCCGTGGCAAATTTAGTCACACTTCAGACAAGTTGCCACATGAGATACCTTGGTACAATATTTAAAAAAAGGTATAAAAATACAAAGACTAAGTCTGACATCTTAGTGTTTTAAATTGTGAAAAAAACAAATTACATGAAATCGATTAATATCCAGATTCTTAATTTTGGACTTAATGTTAATTTTTGGTGTAAAATGCAAAATAAACCATGTACCAGATTTTTAGCGGAGGTAAGATGGGCATTTCTGAAGTTCTCTTAGTCTTTAGGTACACTGTGATCAGATCTGAATTCTAGATCACTGCTCTTCTACATTTTCTTCATTAACAAGCAACCATAACATTGAGGTTAGTCACACAAGTGTGGAAAGTTTGTCACCAACAGTTTTAAAGTGATTTGTAATCAAAATATCTGTCATATAATTACTTTTGTAATAATAGATTAATTTAGTATCTATTTAAAATACTGATATTAACATTCTTACCTTCTAAAATTCCATAATTCACTTACATATGGTACAACTATTTATATATAATAATGGTAAGTTGGTTTTAGTTGATCAAGGCTAACTAAAGCTAAAAATATGTTTTACGTAAACTAAATTTATGGTTGCAAAATTGAAGGGAATGTTGAGGTTAAATTTCCAGGTTACTGTTTCTTATTGAATAAATAGATTGTAGATATGCATTTCTTTTCCAGAGATTGTCCAATCCAATATTCACTAGTGATTGTAAAATTCTTCAATACGCTATACCAGTTGAATCAAATAAGATAGGTATATCCTACAACACTTTGATTTTGTTGATAAATATCAAACAGCTTAAAGCAAACTACACCTAAATTATATTATATAGGGACTATCATGAAAAAGGAGGATGAATTAGATACATCTATGTCTGTTGTGTACTGAACTAGTGTTTACATTCAAGTTTAACTATTGATGTAGGTGACATTTGGATTGGACAATTAAGGAATATTTTAAGTTTTAGACTAATTGATATGTGTATCACTTGTAGTATCACAGTGTGTTTAGTTAATTCTGTAGGTATTTCTGTAGATGTTGATAGATCCCTGGCTAAATTTTTCACACAGACGAAGTCCTTCCAAGGCGGGGAGGCGAACCCCAACTCCAACAAGTACAAAGAAATTGGCAGCAGACAGTCCAGACAAGTGAGTTCCCACACATCAACAAGGGTAGAATCTCCAACCTTACATTTAACGATTAAAAGGAAGAGGAATCTGTACAGGGTTATACTTACGATTTAATTTTGAGCTATAGAAAAAAATAGGGTCATCAGTCAGAGTAATAGGACATTCTACATTATGTGGTTCACTCAGGAGTCTTGTTTTTTTTAGTTGTAATAAATATTGACATTCTTCTGTGTACAAGGAAGGTATATTTTAGAAGTAGCAAAAAAAACATGTAAATTGATAATATTTAGTAACAACTATAAAATTTTGGTATAGTATTGGCCTACAAACCCTCAGGTAAAGATCCATACTAAATAGTTGGATACCCCCTACTTGTGGTGCTTTGCGTTTCTCACCTTTCTCTGATGTTGTGGTGGTGTCCTTGGACAAGACACTTTACCCTTATTGTTCTGGTGGTGTGTAACAGGCTTTTCTGTATGTTGTTCACTGAGATAGCCACTAGCTACTACAATGAGATCTAGACCCTGCTTCAAAATGAACCTGACTTTTCAAAAGGCAATAAACGCAGGAAACAAAAAGCAAACAAATAAAGTACAATCATCAGTAATTTTTGGAAAAAATGGAATGTAACAGGCAGTAACTACATCCATTAGAAGCATTATCTATCCTTTATATACTTTTACAGTATGTCTGTCTGTTTTTGTTATTTTTTTTTTTTTTTTGTATTCATTTGATTTTGATTTTTTCTTCTCTTAAGAAGGTTACTACATCTGTGTACATTTGGTATATAAGGAATGGCCTGTCCTGTGATGTAGATAGAATCCTTTACTAACAATGGTCACCTGCTTATAGTAGAAATATTTTTGTTTTTATAAATCACAAGCTTAAGTCTTTTAAATCTCATATTATGTATTGGTATGATGTTTAGTACACTATTATCAGTGAACAATGTTTGTAAATGCTTTTTCAGCAGTATTGGAGGGATTTTTATTAAATTTCATATGAAGATTCCCCTTGGTACAAAATTGGGACTGATCAGAAAAACAAAATGGTTGAAAGATGGCCATCTTGGATTTTGACAATGAGAGGTTGTTATCACTATTTCTTGAGGAGTACAGATCTTTCTCTCAAATTTCAAATATAGCATCCTTTTGGTCTGTAGTTTTGCTCCTTTAATTTTGGAACTGACCAGAAAAACAAAATGGCTGACAAGTGACTATCTTTGACAGTTAAGGATTTTACATATAGTTGAGTACAATGGAAAGAATAGAACAGAAGAGAAAAGTGAAAAATTTAGAAAAACAAAGACCAAACATGGTGGGCTCCATCAATGTTGGAGAAAATGTTTGATTGCATAACTACCTTGTTATCCATGTAATAACACCGATTACGTATTTGTTGTTAATAACATATGTAATATGATCTTGTGCAGCTCTGATTGGTTGAAGGTTCCCATTGTTTTCATTGTGACATTATAACTACATATGCATTAATTATGAAATCACTACAATGAGATCAGTATTGAGAAAAAATGCTATTTCACAAGCAAATGCAAAAGTAATCCAGTAATTTGATTGATAGAAACTCATTTCCATGTTATAAAAGATTTATGAAACTTGTCACAAAGTTCTCATTTTACCTAGCCAGAAAGACTCAGTTAAATGGGGAAAAAAATCAAAATTCATGTTGTTAAACTCATATAAACCGAAACTCATGTAAGATACTCTGTTTTTAATGTTTGATGTATTATAGTTGTACTTACTCTTTGTTTACATGTAAGGATATATCTTATTGGTGTTCATATTTGTTGACTCTAGAGTTTAAGATTTAAAAGAACTGGTGTAACTTGTCTTTTCCAACAGAACATAGGACAAGGTTGAACATATGAGGGTTAATCATTTATGTGTACAGACACAAATTTGTATTCTGAGGACCAAATCTAGCATTGTATTTACCAGGTACTTAAAATAGAAACAGAATAGTAACTGCAGCATACTCAAGGGTTATCAATTAGTAGAAACTTTACTTTGTCTACCAGTTTCAACCTTGTCGCAAGGTCTTCATCAGGTACTTAAAAGATACTTATAAGGTAAGAAGTATTTAGGTACCATGGTCACTTTAGAACATTAAGTTTTTTCAAATGAAAAGATTATTTTTCTGTGAAATAACTACAGCTGTACTTAGTGGAATATTATATGTTGTTATTATTATTGATTTATTTACATCCTTGTAAGGCCATTTTTGCTGCTGGAACTTGGCCGTTTTTGTCTGGACCTAGATTTCGCAGATCTCGCTCAGGACTGTGTGAACCACATGAAGTCATGCGTTGTCAAGGTAAGTTATGTCACTGTATTATTATTGTTTAATTTTAGATGTTTAGGGCAAATTTTCACTTTCCTATTGACAAAGAAATTGTTATCATATTGCATTCTGAAAAAAAATCATATTGCCAATACGATGATAGCAAATTCTTCATGAAATCAGATACATAATATTGTCACAGAGAAGGAGTTGTGATGGATTGTATAGCAAAGAATGGTTAATGTCACTGGACACAAGTTTCATCTGTGTACAATGATATAGCAAAACATGCGACATTACACCAATATACAATACTATATCAATATATGGGACTGCATAGTAGAGTGTCAGACTTTGGGAGGTTTGTGTTTCTGAGGAGAAGATCTGAGATGTGTGGTTCTATCCCTACCCAGGGAGGTTTGTGTTTCTCAGGAGAAGATCTGAGATGTGTGGTTATATCCCTACCAAGGGAGGTTTGTGTTTCTCAGGAGAAGATCTGAGATGTGTGGTTCTATCCCTACCCAGGGAGTTATGTGTTTCTCAGGAAAAGATCTGGGATGTGTGGTTCTATCCCTACCCAGGGAGTTATGTGTTTCTCAGGAGAAGATCTGAGATGTGTGGTTCTATCCCTACCCAGGGAGGTTTGTGTTTATGAGGAGAAGATCTGAGAGGTGTGGTTCTATCCCTACCCAGGGAGTTATGTGTTTCTCAGGAAAAGATCTGGGATGTGTGGTTCTATCCCTACCCAGGGAGTTATGTGTTTCTATCCCTACCCAGGGTGTGGTTCTATCCCTACCCAGGGAGGTTTGTGTTTCTCAGGAGAAGATCTGAGATGTGTGGTTCTATCCCTACCCAGGGAGTTATGTGTTTCTCAGGAGAAGATCTGAGATGTGTGGTTCTATCCCTACCCAGGGAGGTTTGTGTTTCTGAGGAGAAGATCTGAGATGTGTGGTTCTATCCCTACCCAGGGAGTTATGTGTTTCTCAGGAGAAGATCTGAGATGTGTGGTTATATCCCTACCCAGGGAGGTTTGTGTTTCTCAGGAGAAGATCTGAGATGTGTGGTTCTATCCCTACCCAGGGAGGTTTGTGTTTATGAGGAGAAGATCTGAGAGGTGTGGTTCTATCACTACCCAGGGAGTTATGTGTTTCTCAGGAGAAGATCTGAGATGTGTGGTTCTATCCCTACCCAGGGAGGTTTGTGTTTCTCAGGAGAAGATCTGAGATGTGTGGTTCTATCCCTACCCAGGGAGGTTTGTGTTTCTCAGGAGAAGATCTGAGATGTGTGGTTATATCCCTACCCAGGGAGGTTTGTGTTTATGAGAAGATCTGAGAGGTGTGGTTCTATCACTACCCAGGGAGGTTTGTGTTTCTCAAATAGTTAAGAGATGTGCTTTATAGTTGTATTATTGAGCAAGATGTGTTATGTCAGTTGTTTATTATAGCAAGCAGGGGCCTTCTACATAGCATTCAATGAGGTAGCTGTCTGCTACTATAAGGAGATCTCATCTCAAAGTGACCCTGGCTGTTCACAGGGTGATAAATTGAGCAAACAGTATACATGTCATTATATGATATATTAAATTATATTATACCAAGAAAGTAAAGCTCAGCTGCAAAAATTCAAGATGCATTTCATCCTTCTTTGAAAAAAGAAAGAATGAAAATTAATGCAGTGAAGTTAATCAATTTGATATGACTGCTGAATAATTTGACATACTGTCATATCAGACCTACCACTGTTGTGATCTAATTTCTTGTGAAAGCAACCAAATAAAACCTGTGTATTCTAACTCTTATCAACCATGTATGTTAAATGTTGAATTATTCATGCTTTCCTGTGTTACATAACAATTATACTGCATTACATACAAAAGAAAGTTTTTATAAAATTGCTGCTGTCAATCTGTTAGTGATTATCTGTTGTCCTGTTGTTATGTACCTTATGTATGTGACAGTGTTTTATATATATATGTTTGTAGGAGGCTGGCTTCTACTTGGAGCTCGAGTTATTAGAATGTGACTTAATGCTACATTCTCTGGGTGACAAACAAGAATCTTATCAAAAGTCTGTCATAGATGTAAGTAATCATTACATAACACTTCAAAGCCTTAGTTACTTAAATAATGTACTTCATCCTGATACATAGTGTTTTTGTAGCACTGAGAGGGCTCCATCATTGTTATGATGTAATGATATATTTTCTTGAAAAAGAAAAGTAATGTGATAATAATTACATGTATTATTACACACAAGAAATAAACTCTGTATAAAATATCACTCACGACCAAGAGGTTTGTTTTATACTCCCAAGAACAGCTTTAAACTGATCTCAGCTGGTAATTGCTAGCAATTCTATAATGTCAAATTGTAGACAATATCACATTCTCTGTAATTGAAACAGATATTACAATAGTACTATGGTAGCAATGGGATATTTTGTACAAGTGTGATCATAAATGTATTTAAGTGGGAGATGATCAGTACATAATTAGATGTGATTTGTAATGTTAAAAAAGGATCCGGTTATGCTGATTAAAATGGCTATGTATTTTAATGATGGAAAAAATTACTTTTTTTGAAATTTTCAGCTGAGGTTACAGGCTATCAAGCGTTGTGAGGAGACAATCATGAATGCCATTCGTCATGGCGATCCAAATGTAATTCAGGCTGCATGTGTGACCCAGTGGAACTTATGTCTTCCACTTCTTCAACTCAACTTGCGGAACCATGCACGCAAACCCCTCACTTTGGTAGCAGAAGCCTTGGAGGATATAGAGAGGTAAGATACACAATACATACCAGGATGAGAGAGGTAAGATTCCTTTCCTCAATACATGCCACGATAGAGAGAGATGAGACTTCTTTCTCACAACACATACAGGATAGAGAGAGGTAAGACTTTCCTCCCACAATACATACAAGGATAGAGAGAGATAAGACTTTCCTCCCTCAATACATACAAGGATAGAGAGAAGTGTGAACCGTGTCCCTTGATTTATACAAATGTATTTGATATACCTGGATATAGATGATAAATCTTTGCCATTGGCTAGAAACAAGAAGAGGTAGTCTAGCTTTGTGGTGATGACTCAAAAATGTTAACCAGAAGAGTTCATTCTGGGCAGCTGACCTCTCATATAAATGCCTTGGCTTTAGAGGATGACTTCTCTAGTCTTGGAAACAATAATTATTTCAAGATTTTCAATTTTTGTATGCAATATTTTTTTGTAGCACCAAGGGCAGAGATGAGGACTATTGAATGTTTATTCATTAACTATATATGTACAAGTATTCCAGTTTTCTTATTTTCTCCTATGTTATGTGTTACAGTTTACTGATCAGCCTGAGGTGTCAGGTACACACAGAATTAGCCAAGTGTGAGGAAGATCAAGAACAAATACAAGTGGCCATGGACAACCTCAAAAAGGTTAAGACTTTGTCTTAGGCATCAATTATGTTTTGTTGTTATAGTTGAAAATTTTCATTAACTTGGTAAATGAGTTACCTGAAAGTTCTGTAAGCAGTTGAAGATGTTTCTTCTGCCCTTTATCTAATGTTGAACTTTGTTTCATATCCTCTTGAGCTGTCAATTTATGTAAATAATGCTCAAATAACTTCAAAATTCTGTTACATATGGAAAACCAGTTTGCAGGTCATATCATGTACAAATATTTCTTTTAAGATTTATCTGTGGCTAAAATAGCAAAGATTTGTCACTACTGTGCCGTACGATGCAGGGCAGGGAGTTGGATTAGAATAAACACTAGATATGTCTGAATACCACTGACACAGATTTTGGTGCTTGTCTCTTGTAGGCTCTAGCTCTAGATGATGGGAATGTATACCGTGAGAGACTGGAGGTATCTCTACGTAGACTAGAGCTGAGATCACAGCTGTACCAACAGCCAGAAAGGCCAGAAGATATAGCGGCCATGATCATCGAGCAGGTAAGAACTGCAGGTCACAAAGATATATCAGAAGCAAAAGAACCAGTTACATGTGAATTTTTATTCATGCCTTTTGCATGTTTGCAGAATATTAGTATTAACAGTGTTTCCATATTATTGGTTCAGTGTTTTTAACTGCTATAGATACTTCTGTTATATATATCAGTACTTACACATTTTATGGATTTGATATAGATAATAAAAATGTTCATTAAATACTCTAACAAACAGCAGAAATTTGAAGATTGCAAGAAATTTTCATTAAAAGTTTGATATGTGTACATATATATGGTTATATCACAGGCCAGAAAGGCTGACTCAGGAACTATTCGCATGAAGCGGTCACTTTTGGTTAAAGCTGGAGAGGCACTTGCCCCAGACGCCTTCCTCTTAGTGCTGGACAGTGAAAGTGACACCAAAGGTCAGTTTAAAGCACTATGTTAGGGACTGAGTGTGATATGTTATTTGTAGGTGTGGTTTGTTCAGGTAATTCTGAAACTTCATGACACTAATCATAATAAGACGAAATATAGCACATACCTCTTGCAATTTCTACTTAACCATCATAAGATGTTACATCATTTTCTTCGTTAAAACCTCTTGATTATCAAAGCTTTGTTTATTGATCAAATATATTTGATGGTAGATCCAGATTCTAGTATAACTGTTATATACTCATCATTGTCCTGATGACTGATCATTTATTTAAGTTTAAATTCAAAGTCAAATTTCATTTTTATAATCTTATGTTGAAAACTGCTAACTACACAAAAAGAATTGATCTTTAATGAATATTTATTAAGAATTCCTTGAGGAAAAGAATTCTCTTGATAACAAGGGTATGTAAATGTTTAATTAAAGCCATATTTTTTTTAATTGATGTAAATTTTTCGCTGTTCACTGTACTTCTAATGAACATTGAGAAACATTTGAACCTTGTTTTTTATATGTACCTTATATCAGCTTATTTTCTTGCGTTAAACATGTTTGTAAACAACCCAGGCATGTTCAGGGATTAGTTTTAACAAACTCCATATCTTGTCACTTGTGACTTACATACTTCTGTATACCTGATCAGTTTGGTTGTATACAAGCAATTTTTGCCACTTTATGTATGATCTGTCAATGTGTTTGTTTTAAATCTTGTGTGGTGTGAATTGTTAAAACTGATTTCTAATTATTGTTGTAGTTACTGTTATTCTTTGATACAATACTATGCTTATATGATTGTACTCAATATTGTATTTACAGGATTTTATTTTATTTTCTCATCTGAAAGAAATTCAGCAATTATTGACAATTTTGTTATTTCAGAGAACAAGGACCATGAGTTTACAGGTTCACTTCTAAATGAGCTATATTACTAATTAAATCTGATAGTTAAAATCCATGGTGAAGCATGTTTACACTGCGTAGGTGCTAGCTTAACTGAATGTGTCACAAACTTTGGTGCTTTTTTCCTGAAGGTCATCATCAGTATGTAAATATACAAAGTTAAAATATAAAGAATTGAGAACAAATCTATATATGAGGAATATTGACTCATGTAAAAAGTATATGTTTCAACATCGTCTTTAGAGAATAACTGATCTGATTTCATTGAAGTTATAGTTATTTTTTATTGAAGTTTAGGTGGGGAGGGGAGAGTATGTCACTCTACACCAGCTGATGTAAGCATGCTTTACTATGACAAACACATTCACATGACTGTAGGAAGTAGTCACAGCCAGACACTGATACTTCTGATGGGTGAAGCTAGGTGTAGAGACTAGACTGAACCACATCTCTGATACTTCTGATGGGTAAAGCTAGCTGTAGAGACTAGACTGAACCACATCTCTGATACTTCTGATGGGTTAAGCTAGCAGTAGAGACTAGACTGAACCACATCTCTGATACTTCTGATGGGTAAAGCTAGCTGTAGAGACTAGACTGAACCACATCTCTGATACTTCTGATGGGTAAAGCTAGCTGTAGAGACTAGACTGAACCACATCTCTGAAAGATCATCTTATATGTCTGTATCTCTGTCTAGGAGAAAATATGTCAAGACAGCAGTAAACGAAAGGGTAGATACTTTGTGGTGTTATGCTGGAAGGATGAAACTCGTAATGGTATGATTTTGTTAAGAATTTGTTACCAAAATACCAATACCTGATTTAGAATTCTACATTTGGTAGTCCACCATCATCATTACATGATGGGTTGTTAATGTCATCCTTTGTCTGCGGTCAATCGTCAGTCCATCTGTTTGTCATTTCATAAACAATGCTTGAAAGGTCAAATTACTGGGTATCAGAGAGTACTGAAGGAATCTTTTTCGATCTACCAGTGTTGTTAGTGGTTCTTAATTTAGAAAATTTATAAATTTAGAAATAGCTGACAGACGGCCATCTTGTATTTTCTTAGGAGGAACCTTCTCAGAACGTCTTGGAAAACTTTTCTAAAGTTTTCTGTGATTGGTGAATGTAGTATAGGCAGCTGTACTCAGCTATATTCTCAGAGTCATTGTTTGTTCCACTTTCTTAAAATAATGGATTTGTTTCAACTTGTCACATATAAATTCTTGTTTGTCTTGTGTTTGTACTGTTATTTCTAGTTTGTACATGTACTCATATTTCTAGTTAACAGTTTTCATAATAGCAAATATTGTTTTGGATGTATGGCTCTATTTTTGGTAAATATTCTCCACACCCAAAACTTGAATATTACCAGAATTTGGATGTTGCAATAACAAAAAAAAGGTGAATCATTGTTTAATTAGGAACGTTTATGTTATGAAGTGTGTAATATGTGTATTGAGTATTTGATCCAGATAGTGATACAGACACAAATCATGCTAAAGGTAGATTCACCATATTTGGGCTTGAATTCACAGACAGTTTATCTTGCTCTCTATTTCTACACATCTTCTAGCATGTTTACACTACAAGTGTAATTCTGTGTCTACCACCATTCCTGGGATCAGTATTGTAAAACTCGCCTCAAAAAATAAAAATAAATATTTCTATCTCTGGATTTAACTCTTTGAATTTTTATAGTAAATTAATTTGTCAAATGAAGTTAGAACTGATCAATAAAATTTCTTCCTTCTTTTCTGAACTCATCTTTCTTAATTTTCCTTCTAATCAAAGTAGTACATCCATTACCTAATGTGGCCATGGTAAACCTGTTTTGAATTGGATTAGTGGGATGTGGATTTTGATTTTCAAATTTCATTTTCATGTAAGGTAATAGATTTGTTTGAATTTTAAAACATTCATCTTCTTAAAGCCTTTGCAGGATACTCTTTGTAGCAGTCTGAGATCTGTGTGGCTTAGTGTTGAAGATTTCTGAGATTTTTCTGGAAATGTTTGTACTATTAGTTAGATATGTTTGAAAAAAGAGAATTGTAATGTGTCATTCAGATTTTATTTTTTTAAAACTGGATTAGTGTACTCTACTTTTACATTGTACTAAATAACTTCAATATCTTAATTAATGTAATGAAATCATTCTTTTTCATGACTTTAACAAGCTATTTAATGCTTGATTAAAACTGACGTTATAACCATAAAACTGTAAATACATAATATACTTTAATAAGGAAACTGATTACTAATTGGCAAATACATTTAAAATTGATATCGTATCATTCCATTGCTATCAATTGAAATCAAGTGATTATAAACGATAAAATTTGGAAGTTTTGTGTCATAATTCATGTATAGAACATTAACAAATTACAGGTATTGGAGGCACAAATTACGTGTATTTGTGTGACAAAATACATGTATTGGTGTCACAAATTACATGTATTGATGTCACAAATTACATGTATTGGTGTCACAAATTACATGTATTGATGTCACAATTACTTGTATGGGTGTCACAAATTACATGTATTGATGTCACAAAGTATTGATGTCACAATTACATGTATTGGTGTTACAAATTACATGTATTGATGTCACAAATTACATGTACTGGTTTTAATATAAAAAATTACCTTCCACAAACGACAATTCATTTCATTCCCAGTTTTTAAATGATTTACAATTATTTGCTTTCTGAGGTTTTATGAATGCTTGTATTTTAGTTACTGATATAATTCAGAGCAATAATGGAAGCTATAGAATGAAAATCCAATGATAATTATTGTCAGAGGGAAAAGCAAAATTTTCAGTCTTTAATATAGTAATTTTATTGTCAGTGGAATCAAGCCAAACATTTAACCAAGGTGTTCTACTAAAGATCAGAAACAAACATGACACAAGGCCTTATCATTTTATGAAAATTTAGGTGAACTAGTATGTAATTAGCGAATAAATGCTAATTTCTTTATGTGTAATGACCATTTGACCACTTTACTTCATACCTCTGGATTCACTGAAGGGTAAACACAGTGTATAATCGATAAATTATCCAATCATGTAATGTTTGTTAGTATGTACACTGACAACAGTACAGTGTTATAAGTTTTGTCAGGCTGTGATGTTAAAAATTGACAAACTTATCAGTTTCATTAAGCAGTGAGCCCAGCTTGTTGAAGCAGTATAGGGATATAAACAATCTCATTTTATTTATATAGTTGTAAAGATTTTTCAAAACGTTTCTTAAATATGTTTGATTTGTCAGTTTTATAAGTAAGATGTTGTGGATACTTTAGATCAGTTTGTGGCCTAGTTTTTAGTTAGAACTCTTTCTTATTTAGTGCCATCACCCTAATTTAAGGATAGCATGTTGTTATCAACAGTGTATTCAAGAGGTGATGGATTTGTGTGAGATTGGTTTAGGTTAATTCTGATATCAGTAAGCTTAGACAGATGCATACACCTGTTGTAGATGTGACAGGTGGGAAAGCTCCACTCACACAGATAAAGAAGCTATCAAACAAGGCACGCCAGTTTAACAAGTGTGTTAAAAAAGCTGCAGGCCACCTAAAGCGACTGGGTGATGAAAATGACAGAGAAAGGTGAGTTATCCCCCTTGTCCTCATTATGTTTATTGATGTTATTACATGTGTATCTAAATTTTTCCAAATATACTCATATCAACAACAAAACTATTTCAACAGTTATAAATGAATCATTTGAAAATTTCATTGACCTAAATTTTAGTCTATGAAATTTTCTAAAGGATTGTGTGATTTTGCAGGGCACGGCTTTGGGGTGACCTTGCTAAAACTGCCCGTAAACAGCAAGTCTGGGACGTATGTCGTGTAGCTGCCAGATTTTGTCTATTGTATGATGACGGACGTTGGAAAAATGTCCTACCGGAAAAGAAAATGGAAAGGTATGAAGTAAATCTTGTATTTCACTTTTTGAATAAGGAAATATTTTACTTTTGGAATGGAAAAAACTCAGTCTTAAATTATACAGAAAAACTGTATAAATCATCCTGTTGAAATTTGTAATTTTGCAGCCCAAAGCCTGAAAAACGGCGTGATGGTGGAGCCAGCAGCAGTATGGGGGCAGCTGGAGAATCATCTATGCGAATGGTCCAGGAGTCATCTATGAAGATGGGCCAGGAATCAGCAACTGGTGGCCCCAAAGAGTCAGTAATGTCCACACTAGCAGAGGGAGCCACCTCTTATGAAGGAATGGAGAAAAAGGGACGTAACCTCAGTCGTCCAACTAGTCCTGAGAGATTTGTCCCACTATATGACAAGGACCTCATCAGGATGTTAGCAGAAGTCTCGTTTGTTCAAGGGGAGGTAACTACACTCACAGAAGTTTTAATTCCTATATCTATGCTGAGATAATGATGAAATATGTAGGTGAGAAAAATTAGATATAATTGAACTTATTGCAAGTTAAGATGTCTGACATTTAAACAAACTGGCAGCTTCATTGAAGAAATGTAACTCATAACAGAAAGGGATTTGAATATTGAGGGAAGTTTTGCCTGTAAAATGTATGATTAGTATGTTTTATGAATTGTATTTTTCTTCAGGCCATTGTTCACTTGTTGCGGTCTGAAGGAGTTGAACTAAATGATATGCCAATTCCTCCCGTGGACAAGAGTAAGCGCCCTAAAGGATATGTAGCTAAAAAACCGGAGGAGGACCCAGACTGGATAGAGTACTGGTTAGTTTATAGGATCTAATCAGCTCTGTGGCTATGAAATATTCCAGTATTTCCAATATTTAGTATTTAATGCTATTACTTTTTGATAAAATATTTGTAAAACTGTATATGTTTTACCATATTAATTCAATACAATGGGCCCATGACTTTTTATGAACTCTCCCCAGTTTATTTGACTTCGTAAAAGTAGGCAGATATCTAGAAATGAGAACAAGTGTTAATACATTGTCCTGTTAATGAGCCTTGTTCTCCACATTGTGTCAAAAAGTGTGGGCTAATAACAGGAGTACACTGATAACTGTTAAAATATCCAACACTTTCTATGTTTAACAGTGACTGGATCAAATTGCTGACAGAGGATGGTACTCAGAGTTTCCTGCGAGGACTAGAACTAGGTGTGGAGCTGATAGAGCCCTGGCTAGTGTGTAGTGCTGGAGCATACATCTGGAACTACAACAACCATCTCCTCACACAGCTTCGACATCGGGAAATCATGGATACACTTTCCACTGTTGTGACTGGTCTGCGAAAGATAGGACATGCAGGGTATTTAATCTCCTCCAACAGATTAAGGGCAGCAATTGACCAATCTGTTTTTTGAGAGTTTTGTGAACAATATTTAGTTTTTAGCTCACCTGATCCAAAGGACCAGTAAGATTATGCCATACTGTGGGCGTTTATCATCTGCCAACTTTTTCTTCAGAAATTGCTACAAGTCATGAATGACTGGGCAGATTTTACCAATTTGGTCAGAAAGATCCTAGGTTAAAGCAGAACCAATTTTGTATTACTGGTGGGTTTCGCCCACAAGGTCCTGAGGTGTGGGGCCCAAAAGTGGAATTTTTTTTGCAGGTTCTTTAACATCCTACTTCTCCTTTAGAAAGGATTAGCTTTTGTCAAAGTTTAGTCTGAATTAATCATGAGTGAATAATATTCACTGTATATATGGTGGGTCTTGGCCCCTTGAGGAAGAAGGATGGGGCCAAATAGTGGAAATAGAGAAAAATTCTTGAAAGTCCAAAATCTCCTGTAGGAATGAATGGATTTTGCCCAAACTTGGTGTCAGCAGCATTCTTTGATGAAGAGGAATCAAGTTTGTGTAAACAGAGGGTTTCGACCCCCTGAAGTTGGAGAGGTAGGACCATTATGGGGGAAATAGGAGAAATTCTTTAAAATTCTTCTTTCTATAGAAATGACAGGATTCTGTCTCAGCTTGGTTTGAAGTATCAATTGTTTGGCTGTTTCTCTAGGGACAGAGGTACGGGCCCTGATAGAAAAATAAATATGTTGTGTGCTTGGATATTGAGAATTCCTTTAACTTTATGTTTTGATGAAGCATTTTTAGTCAAGAAGATACATGTGAGTGATGGAGGTCCTATGGGCCTTTTGTTTATGTTATAGTACAGATTGAAATCTTAGTCCTTTGTCTTCCAGGGAGACAGTGATGTTAGTGAATATTTGTACAGCACTGGCATATGCCTACATGAAGCCCTGGATTCCAGCTGAGCCAAGCAAAGACGGTGCATCTGCACCAACTCCTGTACCATCTCCTGAGGTGGGTAAGAAGGGCAAGCCTGCTGCTGCTGGTGCTGCAAAGAGTAAACCAGTCCTAACTGTCAGCATTAATCCCGAGGCCGCTCCAGACCTAAAGAAGGCTATAGAGGTAGGTACAATATTTATACATTGTACACATGTATATCAAACCTGCTTGGGATAATTCTGTACCCCAACCTTATTTTCCACTTAAAAATTGATTGCTGTTAATGATTCAAGAAGGCAGGAATATATAGTTATACTCAATGAATAAGATGTTGTTAAATTTATAGCATATTGTCCAAATAGTAAATACAGACACTCCACATGAAATCTCCTAATTATTACAGGTTTGTGAGTATGCCATAGATGTGACCAATGGCAGTGTTCCACTCCATGTTGTTCCCATCGCAGCTCGTGTCCCACTCCTACAGACTTGGGTGCTGGCCAAACAGATGGCTCAAGTGCAGATCCCAAAAACCTTAGGGGCTGATGATGAGGTAGGCTTAATGCATAACTCTTCTGCCTTATATAAGTTTGAACTGTAGGAAAGGACAAATAGAAATGATGGAAAAACAAATTATAGCAATACATTGAACCAATTGTTGATATTAAACTTGATGATTAACCAATAGTCATCAATATTCTATGATGAAAAATAGATTGCTGTTGGCAAATATCTTCATTGAATTGAAAACTAAGCAAAGCTGACATAAATTTTCTCTGAAGTATTAATCAGTTATATATCAATGTGACAGAAAGCATAAGAATAGAATTAATTACCTTTTTATGTCCAGCCATACACAGAAGGTCAGAGACAGATGACAAGGGCCATAGTTGCCATGGAGATGCTGACTGTTAACCGGAATGGAATTATGGAGTTCAAGGACACACCAACCATTGCAGAGGTAAATTGTGTAAATATGAAGTAGAATATTAAAGAAGATATACATATATAATTCTGTTGGTTGATTAGAGCCCCATGTCAATGATTAGAGAGGTATAATATACTTGATAATGTCTATTTATTCCACCTGTCAGTCTTTTTGTCCAGTTTTTCAAATCTGCATATTTACATGGTGATGATCTTTTATATGTATAGAAGTGCAGCAGGTTGTAAAATTGCAATCAATTATTGTGTTATGTACAATATAAATCTAACTCTGTCAAGGGTTGATATTTTGGCCCAAAAACTAATTCAAGGCAAAGACAGGAAAGATATTTGGGCAAAAATGGAACCTATGATCCACTGTAACAAAATTCTGTATAATTTTTAATTGATTTCATCCATACAGGTAGCTAACTGGCTAGATGAGTGCACATGGTCAGACAAGTTTATGGAGCTACAGATGTGGACAAGACTGACCTCTCTGGCTTACGCTCAGAAACTTCATGCCATTGTTGTCCGCTGTAGTAAACAAGCTATACGCTTTGCTACAGTTGGTACTCAGCCAAAGAACAGGAAGATGGAGGCGTAAGTATATATCTAAAATTGGGTTGTCATTTAAAAAGGTTTGAGAACTCCCTGTATGATATCGATACATCATTTGACTGCTGCTATTATATGGTCAGGGGAATATAGTGTTACCCTTGTCCTTCATTCAATCTTTCCTTCATTACTTTGTCTCCACTCATTTACTCTTTAATGGATACAGATAAAGAACTGTATTAGCGCCTGTTATTGAATTTGACAAAGAAAAACAAAAAAAAAGATCAACAGGTAGAAATAAGTTTTATTTCAGATTCTTTACAAGTAATTCAACAGGCAGAACTTTAATGTTTTTGAGTCATGAGTTCACATATTAACAAAGCCAGAGTATTGGAAAGTTTTTATTTCTCCTTGGTTACTGGCAGGCATTCATGTTGCTCCAACACACCTGGTAAATTTTCTTTTGTTGACAGCCTTGTCAGATTTTATCAATTTTTGTTGACAGTTTGGTCTCAGTGTGTGTCTTTATTTACAGCCACAGGTATATGGTGGAGCAGGAGATGCTAAGCTATGCTAGTGGTCTTCTTGGCCAAAGTCTTGTGGACAACATGGCTGGTAAGAATGCTATCAGACGAGAGGCCATGGAAGCTTTCCTCAACAGTGCCAGGTCAGTGTTACTATGTCACCTACATTGATTTAGTGTCTTAGTCACCAGCAACAGTGCCAGGTCAGTGTTACTATGTCACCTACATTGATTTAGTGTCTTAGTCACCAGCAACAGTGCCAGGTCAGTGTTACTGTGTCACCTTTATTGATTTAGTGTCTTAGTCACCAGCAACAGTGCCAGGTCAGTGTTACTGTGTCACCTTTATTGATTTAGTGTCTTAGTCACCAGCAACAGTGCCAGGTCAGTGTTGCTGTGTCACCTTCATTGATTTAGTGTCTTAGTCACCAGCAACAGTGGCAGGTTAGTGTTGCTATGTCACCTTCATGGATTTAGTGTTTTAGTCACCAGCAATAGTGCCAGGTCAGTGTTACAGTGTTACCTTCATTGATTTAGTGTGTTATTCATCAGCAACAGTGCCAGGTCAGTGTTACTGTGTCACCATCATTGATTTAGTGTGTTAGTCACCAGCAACAGTGGCAGGTCAGTGTTACTGTGTCATCTTCATTGATTTAGTGTGTTTGTCACCAGCAACAGTGGCAGGTCAGTGTTACAGTGTCACCTTCATTGATTTAGTGTGTTAGGTCACCAGTAACAGTGGCAGGTCAGTGTTACTGTGTCACCTTCATTGATTTAGTGTGTTAGTCACCAGCAGCAGTGCCAGGTCAATATAGTGAATAGTGACCACATGAAGAGATTACTACGATGCTAATAACTTTTTATGGAAAAAATCTTAAGTTCAAACTTCCTGCCTATTTGTACTGACTGGAGGTTTACCACAGTATAATGGTCAACAGTGTTTGACCAATTTCACTGTGATATGGTTTGTTCAATTTTTAGTTTGAACTATGTATCATACTCATTTGTTTCAACTCAATGTCCTTGTATACATATTTCAATTATAATCCTCCCAGATTTGCCAGGAATGCTGACAACTATGAGATGGTGATGACTGCAGCCAGACATTACTGGAACGCATGCATGCCTCTTGTCAGTCAGCCAATTGAAAGAGAACTCCTACGAGAGCCAATCAAAGCCATTCTCTTCTGCATTACCACTACAGCTGAATCTGTTCGAAAGGCAGAGGTAGGAAAACAACTGGCCTTCATTTAATGTTGATTTACATGTCAAAATAATAACTGATGTGAGGCCAAGCTGAAAATGTTAGTGTTCCAAAAAATTAATCTGACTGAGATATTAATTATAGAAATGGATGGAAAAAAAAATTTGAAATTCTGATGGTAAATTATTAGATATTACTTAATGATCAGGAAAAAATTCACATTATTTATCACAAAGAAAATTGGAATAAAACATACTGGTAATAATATACAATGTAGAAAAAAACACTACTAGGACTTTCAACAATGCTTTACAATTTGTTGGAATTTTAAGTTATATACACCCACTTATAAACCTCTTTGAACTTTAGGAGAAACAGGAAGACAAGGAAAATGAGGAGGAAGATGGAGGTACTGGAGCAGAAGTGGCTGTGGATGATAAGCCACAGAGCTCCACCATTGGGAGTCCCGAGGATGACCTGACCCTCAGAGCATCGTTGTATGGAGTTCTTTTCCAGTCCTATGCTGACAAGGTAGGATAATAAAGACTATAAGACAGTGGTCACTGTATGTTCTTTTCTTATGCAACATATTTGTATACAGACATGAACTCTGAAACTTTTGTTAACAATTGGTGCTTTAAGGAATACTTGAAACAAAATTCCATTTATTTACCAGAAACAATGGGAGGAAGGTTTGGCTGCTATGGACCAGGCTATCACTGATATGCCGAGGACCAAACACAGACTGTAAGTAGCTTCAGAAACACTTCCTTTATTTGTCATAACTTTCGTGCTATAATAAATAGCATATTATGTTTAAAACTCCCAATTTTTATTATCTTGCGAGGGATATTAATTTGGGTTCATTCCGTCCGTCGAAGGTCTTTTCCAGGCTGTAATTTCAAATTTGTTTGACTCAACTTCACAAAACTTGCTTTATATATTAAGCCAGTGCTCTAGTTCTGCCTTTTGCTTTTGATGACGTTTTATTTTTCATATTTTTCCTGTTACCTTGGAAACATTTTCTTCGAAACCATTCCACTTAACTCCAAAAAACTTTCTGTATTAGGTTAGTGCCCTAGTTGCGCCTTTTTTTATTGAGAACATTTTATTATTTATATTTTTTCTGTTACCATCAAATTTTTCAATTTCTTGTGACTTCTTGTACGACTTATAGTGTTGCATAAATTTGTTCATGGACAATACCAAGCTTTATTCAAATATCAGTCAAACACACAAGACCTGCATCAAGGTATGAACTCTTACTATAAACTTTATGTATATATATATAAAAAAAAATGTTGAAGTTGAGGAGATGAAAGGAAATTAAATTGTTAACTGACGAAAGATGACATTACATTTTACACTAGTGCTTTCACTGTATTAGGTCTTAAGGTGGAATATATCTATCATATTTAGGTTTTACACCAACAGCTGGGTGAGGGGGATAATGCCAGGCTTTGCAGCTCCTTGTTTAGATTTTAGTTCTGACAGTAAGGGTCAGAATTTAGGAATAACAATGCTTATACTTACCTACTTATGTATATATGTATGGTAAACCTGGTGTCATTATCAGTTAACATCAGTTTACATTTCTAGGGATTGTGTGTTGTTGGTAAAAAAACATAAAGATTAATCCCCACTTTTCAAGAAATAAAAAGAATTCTAGATGATTTTCTTGTGTTTCATGTAAATCCTTTCGTTTGTAAAAGGATGAAATTGAAGAGGCTCCTTTTGTTGGAATGATGTAGTTAGATTTTTGTTTCAGAAAAACAAATACCTTAAAAATCAGTAGACTCATTATTTTTATTTGACAGACTGATCTTTAAGCATCGTGTGATGACTAAGGCTAAGTTGGGTAGAAGCGTCAATATGGATATCCAGAAATTTAAGGTAAGAGAAATCAGTTAATTTCATACATTGTCCAGCTTCAGTTTTAACACACAAACTGAAAATATCAAATTTTATTACTTCTGGCTTTTGGTGATGATTTTTCTGCACTTTTTTTAAATATTACATATACTTATATCAATCAGAGAGTGGCAATATTTTTACCAATTGACTTGATATTTCTGGATTAATTTTGTTGTTTTGATTATCCAAATCTTCATCCTATTTTTTTTCAGAAACTTTTTATTATAGAATAATTAAATTTAACAAAGAAATAACACAATGTATTATTGTAGGTATAGTTTGATCTCATACCTTCATATTCAAATGTTTTGGGTTTTTTTTTATTGAAATTTTTTCAGTAATAAATCGTACTAACACATATTTCCTCTGTAATATATGCTTTAAAACATATATTTTTTTTTTCATATATATAGATTTTATATTTAATATGTATGTCTTTATTCCATCATCATTTTGTTTGACTAACAACTGACAGGAAGACCTTGATGATTTGTCAATCAGCAAAGTTCGCAAGGTTTGGGTGTTGAAATATCTACCACTGCTTTTAAGTGATATATTGTATAACCATCAGTAAAATCAGTGTCACACACCAAATGTTGCTGGCTTATTATGACAGTAGTATTTCACTGCTTTAGTTGGAGGAGGACACAGTGCGCATGAAGGATGTCTAGGTGTCAAACACTGTCATTGTACACATATCTGTGGTTAGATTTTATGATTGAAAAAAATCTCTTGAAATTGTTTATCAGACTCTTTTGATATTTAAAACTTGATATTACAGTAAATTCGAATTAGGAAAAATAGTTACCTACTTGATAATGAGGGTCGGATAATGACATGGTCTTAGTGATAAGATTAGATTTAAGAAGGGATTATATGTGTTGATTTCCCGATTTTAATTAGTAAATATTGAATTAACTAGAGTTATCAAAGTTCTTATAAAAATTCCTTTTTACAGTGTGTACATAAATTAATAATTTTATCTCCACTTAAGGTATCATCAGTGGTCTGCTGCTCCAAAGTGTACTAATATAAATTTCATGCTGGTTCCCATTCAAATAAAAATGAAACGTTTTTTGAAAATTCTTAAAAATCCTTATCTATAAACTTTTGCATGATATCACTGACTTGTTGATATGCACATTCTTTATCTGGTGATGGTAATGATATCTGTGTGGACACTGCTGACTCAAGTATCACATCTCACACGTTACCCAGTTTGGCTAGGTACTGGCACTGTGATGAACACATTTCTACAATGTTTTATGTGATCCATGCATGCATCTGTTCATCATTCACTCAGTATATTCTTAAAATGATGAAAAAATATTATACAGGTCTGTTACTACATCATCTGTCTTTTATGTCAGTTTGCTGCCCCTAGCATAATTAATATCAAGACATTTTGGATGGATGATGAACGGTACCATTAGTATACTAACTTGTGTCCCTTTGTTCCTCAGATTTTCTTTCTTGACCAATGAAATTTTTTTTTAAAAAATCATCATGATTGTTGTTAATACTGTATCATTATGTATAAAATTTTCTTTATTGTACCATTGGTCTTGCAGTTTAGGTGTTAAACATATATTTTGAAATTCGACAAAAAAGTTATATATATATATATAGACTGTACTTACACCATTAATAGCCAAATGAGTTACAATGAAGTTTTGTAGTAATACTTCTCTATTGACTTTAGGACGAGAGTGAGGACTATGTGGCTCACATGTGGAGGAGAGTAGCTCTCAGTTCTAAAGAAATTCTGGAGCAGCTCATATCTTACCAAGCGGCTGTTGAGGCTCTCAATGTAAGTTTATAGGTATACCTGGAGCTATGTCTGACACTACAGAGTTATGTCCCTTGTTTTATGCTCCAAGAATGAAGGAAAAAACTCTGGTAGGCATATGTGTTGATTATTCAATGTGATACTTCATTCTTTTCAGACTGCCATATATAAATTTTAATTTTCGCATGTTGATGGAATTACAGAATTAGAAAATGATTAGAATGTGTGTTTTTGTGCATTGTTAATTACGTTCATTTAAGAGAGTTGTGTCCTGTTTCTGTCAAAGAATGCTAGTAAGAAAGTGGACTTGGTCAGTGATTGTACTAAAACATGTTACGTATACTATTAAATCAAATGCTTACTTTCTGTTTTAGAGTGCCAGTAATGAATGGCAGAAAGTGGACCTGCTATTAGAGTTTGGTCAGTGGCTGTACTACAACGAGTTTCCTCTCCAGGATGCAGTGGATCAGATAGAATGGGCTGTTGATATCATCCTTAACATGAGGACTGACACAGAGATACACAAGGAACGAGGTAAATAGACTAGACTTTTTTGTCAAAGTTTCTTTTGTACAAAAGAAGATAGATTTGATCACAAGAAGCTTAAGTTCTATGAGAGTTTGTCAGCAAGTACTAATACAATTCACTTATTGATGGTGAATGTATTACTGGCTTCAGATTGAGCCTGGAACTGTTTGCCCATATGATCAATGATGTGATTCCAAACTCAATATAGCATTTACTTCTTTTCTTTTCTCAATTTTTCAAATAACTTGTTCAAATATTTCAAAGATTTGTTACTTATCTTTAATTAATATACCATATCCAATATCTAAACTGTAAAATATACAGTAAGTAGAATTAAAGGATAACATTTCCAGTATAATATCTGTAACCATATACTTGTTCACATTACTGATATTGCTTTACCAGTATATGTTAGGTACCATGCACTTTTTTCATCATATAGCTGTTTCATGTTAGCATGTTTTGTAATATAGCCTTTGTCTGTACTAGCATCAGATTTCTTATTTTGTAGAAATGTTCATTAAAAACAGAACATGTTGCACCATTAAAGTTATTTGCTTTATTTTTTGTCATTTATTCTGTCTCTTTGCTGGCCATTTATGAATTCATAATAGACCTTCAGCAGCTTTCTGGTTCATTAATTATATGCAAATGATTACCAATAACTATTATATGAAAAAAGAAATATAAGATTTTGTATGAGAAAGGCTTTGTATGTGTGGAGAGGTATCCACTTGTGATTGTTGTACTGTCAGTGTAGAGATTAGTTGTGTATGTTGTCACCATTCTGATGCAGCTGCTGTCCAGAGGAAACTTTCACTGATAGACTCCAACAAAAAAATGACTGGGAAAGGTAGCAGGGATATATCTCTCAGCTTCTTCTTTATATGCTTCCTCCTCTCACTTCTTTGTCCACAATCTCTTGAAATATGCACTTTGCAAAATATCATATCATTTATGTAATGAGCATGTCATGCATGATTTCTTTTTTCAGTCTTTTTATTTCTTTATTCATAATTTTTAATGGTGATCAATATCTAATGAAGAGGTCATGGCACACAATATTATAAGAAATTGATCCATTATTAAGTACTATATAATGATTGATATTGCATGTTATCATTATATTATTAGTACAAATTGAAATTACTCTCCTGATAAACTGAAATGCCTTAAGATGGATCTTAAAGTGGGGGTTTTTTTTTTGAGATTCATCTTATCAGATATTTTTTCAAACAATTATTTTTCTTCCTGCTGTCCGTTTCTTTACCCACTGTGAAGTGTTAGATATTGTTAGTTAGCATGGTATCCTAATATATAGCTTGTCTAAATGTTTTATATGTTCTATCTTATAGTTTCTAGTTTGTTTGATCCATTATACTCTGGGATATCAAGTCTGATCCCCTTGTTGAACCCACCACAAATATGTTTCAATGTTGTCAACAATACCATTGGTGTAGATGTAACAGTGTTTCAGTGTTGACAACAATACCATTAGTGTAGATGTAACGGTGTTTCAGTGTTGACAACAATATCATTGGTGTAGATGTAACAGTGTTTCAGTGTTGACAACAATACCATTGGTGTAGATGTAACAGTGTTTCAGTGTTGACAACAATACCATTGGTGTAGATGTAACAGTGTTTCAGTGTTGACAACAATACCCCTGGTGTAGATGTAACAGTGTTTCAGTGTTGACAACAATACCATTGGTGTAGATGTAACAGTGTTTCAGTGTTGACAACAATACCATTGGTGTAGATGTAACAGTGTTTCAGTGTTGACAACAATACCATTGGTGTAGATGTAACAGTGTTTCAGTGTTGACAACAATACCATTGGTGTAGATGTAACAGTGTTGACAACAATACCATTGGTGTAGATGTAACAGTGTTTCAGTGTTGACAACAATACCATTGGTGTAGATGTAACAGTGTTTCAGTGTTGACAACAATACCATTGGTGTAGATGTAACAGTGTTTCAGTGTTGACAACAATACCATTGGTGTAGATGTAACAGTGTTTCAGTGTTGACAACAATACCATTGGTGTAGATGTAACAGTGTTGACAACAATACCATTGGTGTAGATGTAACAGTGTTTCAGTGTTGACAACAATACCATTGGTGTAGATGTAACAGTGTTTCAGTGTTGACAATAATACCATTGGTGTAGATGTAACAGTGTTTCAGTGTTGACAACAATACCATTGGTGTAGATGTAACAGTGTTGACAACAATACCATTGGTGTAGATGTAACAGTGTTTCAGTGTTGACAACAATACCATTGGTGTAGATGTAACAGTGTTTCAGTGTTGACAACAATACCCCTGGTGTAGATGTAACAGTGTTTCAGTGTTGACAACAATACCATTGGTGTAGATGTAACAGTTACTCTATGATTTACAGGATTTAAGGTAATTAAGTACTTAATACTTCAAAGTACAAAAGTGTTTTGGGGTTTTTTATTTTTTGGTTTTTTTTTAATGAATCATTTATAAATACATTGTATGTGTTTGAGGGTTCCTTATTATGATAAGGAACATCTTCATCAAATCAAAAATTCAAATTATTATAAAGTACATGTTCATAACTTCCTCGTTATTTTGTACTTAAGCTAGCAATGACCAAATGTGATTACTGGTTTTATTTCTCTGATTAAGAGATAATAGATTTACCAAACTTCTATACCCACTGCAAAGTTAGCAGACACATATTAATCTCTTTTGATGACTTTAAGTGTAAACTGTCATTCACAATGGACTCTCAGAAAGAGTCTTTGAATAAGATGCTTAACCTTGAAGTGAGATATCTTTTATTTGTTCTAAAATGAAGAATTTGATTGGAGGATATTTATAACATGTCGCATCAAGTTGATTCAGTCTTAAAAGTCTTTGTATGTGAAGGGGGTATATAGACAGACATGTACATTTGTGTTTCCTGTAATTTTGATTGTAGTGGTTTGGTGTTTGTAGACATAGCTAGAAACCTTTGTCCCCAGTCCCACTCCTAAATAGATCGCATGGTGATTATTCTTCTTCATACTGTAAGGTTTTTATCAGTAAATCAATCTATATATATATTGCAGATGAGAATCTTTTTAGCTCCTACCATATTTTATTCTTTGAGAAATTAGAGTAATGGAATGACTTTCACCTTAGTCGGAAACAAAACCAAAATCTGTGGAAATTATTTGCTAATGATAATATGATGTCTTAATTTAGTGTACCATTAGTAGGGTTCATAATTTACTTTTGTTTACAAAATATTGATTGTATTAAAAATGTTTGAGCATAATATGTTTAGGTACTTTGTATTCATAGGTAAGAATTTTAACTTAATCAATGGCTAGAAATTATTCAATCAATACCATTATTGGTAGAATTAATTAATATGAATATACAAATGTAGTATTGGTTAGTGACATTGGTCAGGTCACTTGATTTCTTTTTGACCAAGATAAAGTCACAACTAATTAAATACAGCCCACTGACAGACAACTGTGTGTATACTAGGATTACTACAGTGATGTCTTCTGTCTTTTTTTATTTAGATTTACCATCTGTGTGCCTTTTTTCCCTAGATGTTGATTTTCCTGAGATGATGTACAATAATTTGTGTGCTCATGTCTTGATTGATGATTTATTTTGATCAAAATACAGTAAAACTTGTCTAAACCAACCCCTAATTATTCAGACAATCTGTCACATCTGACGTAGAGTTATAATCCCATTCTCATCAAAGGTTACAAAACAAGACATCTGTATTCGATGTCATGTAACTCTGGCTTATTTAGTATAAAGTTTACTAGATCCCACAGGTGGTTGGTTTAGACAGGTTTGACTGTATCATTTTTAGAAAGTGTTTGTAATACAAAATAATGCACAAAATATGTATTTAAACTTTTTGTGAATATCTTACTTTAAGCTTTCTAGGAAGCAAAATGTACTCAGTAACTAATTCTTATGTTGATGTATAATTAATGTCTTAATAAGGTATGCTGAAGCTTCATTTAATGTTTCTGCATACAAACTTATATAAATGTATTAACCCTTATATCATGTCATACATTAAAACAGTTGGAAACTAACATCAGCGTATGTCATGTTCATTAATCTATATCATTTTAAGTGTATATGGATATGTAACATTGAAATATCTAACAAATTTTACATGTGATAAGAGGTTCAAATGTGCTGCCGTATATATGGGATTTATATGTATGCTATAAAAGTGAAACATTTATGAATGATATTTGATATTTACCATCTTTGCTGATTTTATTATCTGTAAGTAATCATTACAATCATGTTTGTTTTGTAGCGGCTTCTGTGGCCAAGAAAGCAGAGAAGAAGGGGAAAGGAAAGAGTTCAGCGAAGGGCAAGGCCACACCAGCACCTCCCTCAAAATTAGTTCCTGTCGCTGACACTCCAAGGAAAAGTCCTGAACCCAAGAAAGCAGCAAAGTCCATGGACAGTCGCAGTGAGACCAGCAGTGTGTCAGATGATATCAATCCTGATGGATACATACCTGTAGCTAAGCAAGCTATCATAGGTGTGTGTAGCTAGGATGTACAGGTTCAGTAGGACACAAGTTTGTGTAGGATGTACAGGGTCAGTAGGACACAAGTTTGTGTAGCCAGGGTGTACAGGGTCAGTAGGACACAAGTTTGTGTAGGATGTACAGGGCCAGTAGAACACAGGTTTGTGTAGCCATATGTACAGGGTCAGTAGGACACAAGTTTGTGTAGCCATGTGTACAGGGTCAGTAGGACACAAGTTTGTGTAGCTATGTGTACAGGGTCAGTAGGACACAAGTTTGTGTAGCCATGTGTAAAGGGTCAGTAGGACACAAGTTTGTGTAGCCATGTGTACAGGGTCAGTAGGACACAGGTTTGTGTAGCCATATGTACAGGGTCAGTAGGACACAAGTTTGTGTAGCCATGTGTAAAGGGTCAGTAGGACACAAGTTTGTGTAGCCATATGTACAGGGTCAGTAGGACACAAGTTTGTGTAGCCATGTGTAAAGGGTCAGTAGGACACAAGTTTGTGTAGCCATATGTACAGGGTCAGTAGGACACAAGTTTGTGTAGCCATGTGTAAAGGGTCAGTAGGACACAAGTTTGTGTAGCCATATGTACAGGGTCAGTAGGACACAAGTTTGTGTAGCCATGTGTACAGGGTCAGTAGGACACAGGTTTGTGAAGCCAGGGTGTACAGGGTCATTAGGACACAAGTTTGTGTAGGATGTACAGGGTCAGTAGGACACAAATTTGTGAAGGGATATACAGAGTCAGTTGTAGAAGAATTTGTGTAAGGCTGTATTAGGTCAGTTGGAGACAGGTTTCAAATTTTAATGATCAGCTTACCAAGATCACATGATTAAAAGAAGCTAAACTTAGATTCACTTTCTAATTCCAGATATCATTTGTATTATCTGAAACGTAAATGTTCACAAAACTTAATCAAAAGATCAGTTAACATAACAAAGTCTAAATGTTGTGTTACAGGTGTGCTGCCCAACAACCCAGGACTGAAGTTCCAGGACCTTGAAGATGTGAAACAGATAGATGGACTGCTGAGAGCATACATTCTCCTTGCCGAGATAGCTGGTCGCTCCTCAGTAGAGTACCAGGACTTCTTACTAATGTGCCACTCCTTTATCATGCGGCTCTGGCAGGTATGGCTGTGTCATGTTTTTAGGTAGTCATGTACCTATATCAAAATGTACCTGTAGAGAACTCATTACAACAGTCATGTACCTGGAATACTATATAAACAATTGTTAGCCTTTAGCTTCAGACACAGTATAATGAGTGATTGTATGACACATAAGTAGCTTACATAGAGATTTGCAAAGTGCATGTTACAAATAACTGTAAAAGACCCAGGTCTATATCTAGTAGATTAAATGTCAGTGGTAGAAAGACAAAAGGAAGATATTTGTTTATATCGCTTTGATCTGAAATGAAGACATTTGGGGAAAAAATTTAAATTAATGAAGTTTAACCCCTTTTTTGGCAATTTTGTTATACTTTGTTTGGCAATACTTTGTGTTGTATACTGGGTAGGTGTCAGTGCCAGTGACTGGACCAATCATTAAGGAGATGGCGAAGGCTGCAGCTGCTGCAGGGACTGATGCCAAGTCTGATGCTGCATCAGCTAAAAACAAAAAGAAGGAAAAAGATGCCCCAGCTGCCCCTGTAAAGGAGAAACCCAAACGTAAGGGACCCATTGATGCACTGCCCAGCAATACAGAGGAGTGGGCTGTGTACGATGCTCCAGATGAGGTATGACATCAGAATTATATAAAAAAACTGAAAATCTAGAAAAATCAAACTCAGAAAGAAAGAAAATATCACTAAATATTGATATTGACTGATTTGTTTTAAATCAATAGTTAGTTGAAACAATTTGTGAAGTGATAAATTAGAAACCATGTCACTCCTGTAATCTCTATATCACTTTTGTGTTGAAGGTGGTGGAAGCATTCAGCAGTGAGCAGATGAAGGTTAATGGTATTAACTCTAGTACCATTGTTAAACCGGTAAGTTCACAACAAAAGAAACTAATATTAGAAATAACTTTTTAATTTACACATTGTTTATGGAAAATTTTACTTTTAATGATTCACCCCTGAGAAAATACATGTCAGATTCTATAAAATTTGATTAAAATGAATTATTTCATTTTTTATTTAAATGAGACCTGCATTTTTTTTTCTTATGGAAGTCATATAGACCAAGTTTGATTACTGGACTTGGTAGATTTATAAGAAGTTATTTCTGGTATAAAAGAGGTTTAGTGGTAATTGAAAAACAATTTTATGAATTATAAAACAGATGTTGACCCTGCATTACCTGGACACACTGATTCGAATGCTGAGAGAAGTAGGCTACAACCACCTCACTTTACCAGTGTTTGCCCTGGAGGATGTCATGTCACGTAACCTCCTCAAGAACAACGCACTCAACACTCTCATCCACTCAAGGTACTGTAATCAATATATCTTGACATGAAGTTCACTTTAACATTATATCACACCTCTTTTTTGGCATCGCCAAAAAAAGTCATTTGGAAATATACAGGTACATGTGTTACATACTGAATGAGGTCACTTTAACCTCCACTTGACCTTTGACATTGACCTTGAATATTATTCTGTTACAGGTGTATACTGTACATTTATTTATTTTAGGGAGAATTTAACAGTGGTGAAAATTAAAAGTTTTCTTCCAAGACAAAAGTTTCTGCAGCATATATCAAACATGAGTTCATGTTTGGACATCAAACTTGCAAACAAGGCACTATGACCTCTTCTTGACCTTTGTTATAATCACAAAAATATCTAACAAAATATGAGTTTCCGGTCTCCAGAGCACTTTGTCTCTGTGTCAGTAAATAGGCCATGAGAATCTTGTGTACTAGATATCTCATGTAACCCTAACAGATTTGGTAAATATTCTCACCACATCATCACACCATCAAGATCTATGCATAGTTAAATTTTAATGGTTACTGGTCAATGTTAAAGGTCAAAAGGTGACCTTTGACCATTTCAGAAATAAAAAACTTGTCTACATGGTTGGATTTGGGAATTGTGAGCACCTCACCTTTTTTAATCCTGGATAGAAGATACATTTTGGGAAGGTGATAGAAGATACATTTTTGGAAGGTGATAGAAGATACATTTTGGGAAGGTGATAGAAGATACATTTGGGAAGGTAATGTCAATATAGGACAACATACTTGTGGTTGTTAATGCTAGCAACATCACAGCTAAATTTATTGGTATTCCAGAAACAACAGATCTTTGTTGTACCGGTTGTGTCTAAGTCTTTGTTTTATTATCTGTCATATTCATTTCAGCTGTTAATGGATGAAGTAAAGTCATCAGTGTGCTAATTCTCCATCTTATGTTAAACATGTTACAGAGCTGCTGAGGTCTGTTTGGAGTTAAATTTGAAGAATGGTATTATGTTCCATGAGAGGTTGGCTGGACCACTCACTATCAGTGAGGATGACCAGTCTCTGTAAGTACAACCATGCTCCATTGTTATGCTATTGTTCAGAGTATTTCCCTGGCCATCACTGCTTTTCAAAAAAGACACATTTGATAAATGATTGATTAAAAAAAAATGTTTAAATCAATTTACATTTTGAAGTCAAAATCTCTTACTACTAATTAAGCAATATTTTCATCACAGATTGCCTCTAGAGACTAACAGTTCTTTTCATGCTTTAAAGTGAATTAAAATGAACTACCTGTAATGTATTTTTCAATATCTCACACCTGAGGACCCTTGAGGAAACTGCAGTAAGGAATGAAAAATATGAATGATATAAATGTGACTATCTCTTCCTAGATGCCGTGATGAGATTGCCATATGGAAGGAGAGACAGATCCAAGTGGCAAAGGAGGAGATGCGAGTGAAGGAGTCGCTGGCAAATCTGGCAGCAGAGAGTACACAAAGTCAGACGAGGAAGTCAGTCACATCACATCTGGGACAATCCTCCATAGACACCAAGGTTTGCTTGCTATGGACTTTTTGATACAAGATACTGGATTGATGATTAGTGTTTAAAGTAATGTAAACTTTTAGCCATTTTTCTTCTTTAAAACAACAGAGGACACAACAATACATGTTAATATTTAAAGTCATCAAATTGTTCAAAATGTCTTTTTACATTGATGTTTAAACATGTTTTTCCTTGATATCAAGGTAAATATTTTTAATAAAGACAAGGTTAAATGAGACTGCAATCATGACATTTCCTTCAACAGAGTGATGAACAACCTCTCACATCTCACCTGGGTAAAGTGCTGAGTGCTGTTACATTCCGTGATGTGTGGGCTGATATGGCACAGCTTCTTATCAATCAGGTCAGTACAAGTCACTAACAGGTCATTGTGAACAAGATACTTCAGTATTAATGATCTTTTAAAGTTTATCTTACATTCATTTCATTGATTGTATTTTTACAGTGTGGTTACCAAGCAGCCAGACAGTACCTGGATGAGGCTCACAAAGCAGCTGTGGTAAGTCTATTAACATTTACAAAACTATCTTCATCATTTAAATCTTGTAAAGGAGGTTAGGACAGTAATGAAGAATAAAATTATCTCAAGATACACTTTACCATGCAATGTATATCATGGGTTGATGTAATTTGATGTGCAGTTCTGATAGTTTAATTTGCCTGTCATCAGGTTGAAAAGATTATTGTATGACAGATAGATATCCTTACTCTGCAGGCTTTTGATGACCATCAGCTTGAGGCCCGGATCCTGTTCCTGTTTGGAAGGCTAGCTCTTGCTGAGGCCCAGTATGGCCAGGCCTTTAACTTCTGCCGTGAGGCACAGGTGGGATGCTAAATTGTTTTTTTTATAACTTCACCCTGATGATCATTCTTTACAAAGTAATAAAGAATCTTAAAATTGATATCATGTTGCATTCATCTGGAAGAAGATTTTTATGGAATAATTGTATTAATTGTTGATGAAACAGGTTTCTATCCTTTTGCAGCAACACATTACAAAAAATATCCCAGTATCCTTGAAAAGACATAATTTTGTTTTTCATTTTCTTATATTGATGAAAATATTACCACTACAGAATAAATACCAAGGAGATGAGATGTTTTGGTATGACACAACTATGCTGATGGTGGATGCTACACTGAAGGATTATGAAAACAGGAACTCTAAGAGGATTGTAAGTATCTGTAGTGAAATGTAGTCTATTTGATAGCAACTGCTACATGCTTAAAGGTTAAGATAGAATTAACACTTCCATATCATTTTGATTTTCTATGATGAAAATAACTTAAATTTGTTGCTGTCTTCAGGTTATTTATTTTGAAATTCTTATCTTCAGGCTCGGGGTATTCTGGTGCACGCCTTAAATGAATTTATGAGAATTGCTGATGAGCGTCCTAATAGAGTCAGTGTCACTCAGTTCATCATTGCTAAAATGGAAGCACGGTAGGTGAATCTGAGAACTCACTTTAGCTGTTATCATTTAAATGAATGGTATTTGTGTTTTTTGGCAGGATTGGTAGCTAATTCAGAGATTATATAATACAAGACTTTAGTAAACAACCAGCCTACACGTTATTCATTCATATGAGTAATACTACACTGAAACTTACACAAGAAAAACAACAGTTATCTTATACAGAAATAGGATGGCCATGGGTTGCCATTTAGAATTTCCAGAATATGTTTTTATGTCCCATATTTCAGAGTCAGAATAAAATAATTGTAGTAGTTTTTCTTTTCAATGATGTATGATTCTGTTATGCAATATTTGCCTGATTTTCTTGAACATTTTCATTTAGCTGACATGAAAACGAGTTTGTTATATTTTACCTGACATGAAAATTTGTTTGTTATATTTACCTGACATGGAAATGAAAATATGTCTGTTATATTTACCTGACATGGAAATGAAAATAAGTCTGTTATATTTACCTGACATGGAAATGAAAATAAGTCTGTTATATTTACCTGACATGGAAATGAAAATAAGTCTGTTATATTTTATCCGACATGAAAAGTAATTTTCACAAGTAGATCAATTAACTTGTTCTGTTGAATAGTCCAGTTAATCTTGCATTTTTATAAATCAATAAGCACTGTGAGATCATAAGCTTCATTGAATTTTTTTGACAGATTGGCATTTGTTCAGAGCAAGCTTATCTTTGAAGAAGACATGGATATGAATGAGCCTAAAGTGTTGAAGAGACTTCTGGATATCTGTGAGGTAAGCATCAAGTGTGTTATATGTAAAGCTTGTTATGAACATCAGTTTCAGAGTTTTCTGCCAAGGATTAAACAAAAAACCAATTGAAATGTATTCCATTTGAACCTGTATTAATGTAAGCAGAGGTTTGTCAATGTTTTACCTGTATATTTTTGCACAGAAATATGAGAATGCCTGCGACAAGCTGACAAAACTAGGCTACAAACGAGAAGTCCTACCCATAATGAAGGACCATGCTGATATCCTCATCAAGATGGCAAAGAAATCTATCCATTCAGAAAAAGAAGTCCTCCATACTTATTATCTCCAGGTATAAACTTTCAATGTTTTCATTTTTCTCCCTGAGTGATGGAAATATTTCACAAAAGTTTTGTCTGGATTGATTCATCAGTAGTTTGAGATATATATGTATGTTATGTCATATTTTCACCAAATTCCTAACTAATATCTGGTTTTGCATGAAAGGTCAATGTTTATAGACACTTTAATAGAAAATAAAATTTGTACATTGATTTTTAGGCACATAAATGTACAAAATTTGTACAATAATTTTATTGTGTCAGATAAAACTTGCATTTATTACCTACAATAGTACAAGTTATTATGCTAATAACTAAGCAATGTTAGTTATGATTGTCTCTGGTTTATAGTCTATGGGTGTGCTACGGGATGCTGTGGCAATAGCAGAGGAGGTTTACAGAGATGTCCAGACCCTCGCTTCTCTACAGGAGGTAGGTTCAAAAACTAAATTTCAGAGATGTACATGGAAGTCAGCATGCTCTCATCTCTTTAGAGGAGATTGTTTCAGAAACAACATTTCAGTGGAGAAAGTACTTGCACATCTTAACTCTCTACAGAGGGTACAAACAACAAATATTTTGCTGTCAGTATTACAAGGCTCAAAAATAAGCAAAACTCATGTAGTTGGTCTAAACAAAACAAAAGCACTTCCAAACAACACATTACTTAACATTTGGGATAACGACAACAGTAACATAACCAATATTATCTTTAGAGCTAGTATAATGAATTGCATTGTACTTTAAATTTATTTAGTTGCGGAACTTGAGCCTGCCCATCCAGAGGGAGTTAGCTGATATCAAAGTGCATTGTGGGTCTGTGATGTTGGCGATATTCCAGGAACATGCGAAGGAGGCAAGAGAGACTCAGTTAGAGGATATCAGGAAGGGTGCAGTTGTCAAGGTAACCTGGGCTTTTTATGCTTTTTAAAAAATGTTATTGGAACAGTCCAAGGAAATGTCAGATGGTTTGTCACAGAACATTTTTCTTCAAATGGAGAAACGAAAAATAATTAAGTCGTTTTTTTGGCATCATGTATGTGCTCAGATTTATCTAACAAATGGACTCTAGAATGAAAAATAATGAGTAGCTTGGTTTTGGGTGGTTTGAGTAAGGACTACATCATATACTTTACATTTCAAACAATCAGAAGTCTCCTCTTAGATGTGGATATTGTTTGATATAGCAACTTATAGATGTTGGTATTATTTAACAATCAAAGGATTTTTTATTTTGTTAGACCTTATAACTACCTTCAATCCCTTACACTCAATTCTATAACTGATGTAAAGTCATATCTGGTTTGTTAGTATTGTCACATTGAATACTTTTACAAACTGATGATGTTTTTTGTGTTGATAGATGGTTGAAGATTTTATCAGAGAGACCCCCACCTACACACACATGGAAAAGGAATGGGTTGATACCACGAGGTAAAAAGGCTTTTGTTTTCATGTTGAATTTCATTTTACCAATTTTAATTTGAAATGAACATGTGATTGTTAGTGACAATTTTATAAATAAGTGGATAAAACCTACTGTCTGAAATATTTCAGATAAATGTAAACATATATACTTCAACTCACCAAAAGATAGGAACTTGACATGTAAAATCCCTTTTGCAAAGTCTTGGTCATGTGATCAATTATTTTCTTGTCTTTATTTTCCGTTTACAGAACAGTTATCGAAGATGCCATGCTGAAGTTTGTGGATGCTCACAATATGGCTGCTGGAATCCCTAAGCTGAGGACTAAGGTAAGTATGGTCCACAACATTTCTGAGATATGACTGTAATGAGTAGATGAATTTGTTGTTTTATAATACATGACTTTTTACCTAAATATACGTGTTCAGTACATACAGTTTCATAAATACGTTATTAATTTCACTTTCAAGGACAATTGATTCTGAGGAGTCCGTACATGGTATATGAAACTCTGAAGTAGAAATAAGACCCAGAATGCTTGATTAGGGGGCTCCTGAAGAATTTGCATTCATAGATGATTGTTTTGATTGTAGGCATTGTGTGGAATAGGGCAGAGTCTGAAGGCATTCTCTGTGTTTTCCTGTCCAAACTCTGGCACACAGTGGTCAGTGTATGAGGAGGTAAGCCCAGTTATCATAAGGATAGCTTTACTTCACTAGCTAAAGATATTTGTTCAACACTTAGATAAAAAAATCCTTGTTTCTCGTGTTTTAAAGATTTTCATGTACTTTGATTCAGCATGTGAATGTATGAAGATTTTTTGTTCCTTTTTGGCTTTGTAGGGTTTAATATGCTATTATACATTACAGATTCATTGCTGATAGCACTGGTAGACTGAAAGACATTTTGTTACCATTATCATATGTACTATTGACACATTCCTTGTAGGAAATTTCGAAGCTGGAGAGCTCGTCTGGAGAAGGAGAGGAAGATGAAGGGGAGAAACCTGAGTTAGACGAGACATCCAAACTGTTTGTACGCTACTCCGTACAAATGAAAGAGACCAAGGTAACACTGCTCTTAACTATATCTTTTATGATGTCATATTGACTACATGACAGGCAACTTCATCCACCATATGGTTACATTAGAGAAATTGTATTGTTTTAATATGATTTTGTTTAGAAATAACTATTTTCATATGTGCTTTTACATTTTAAAATTGTACAAAAGACACAAGTAAAGAGCACATTTCAATACCAATTTAGATAAGATACAGTAGATCCAAACAATGAATTTAACATTAGGACTCTCTCTGTGAAGGGCCTAAAGGTTAAACCTAGGAGGCGAATAAAAGACCACATTCTAATTCAATATTGTATGATTACATGTTGACAGGCTGCAGAGGACGTGAGTAGACACTACCTGCTACAAGCCACTGAGTGTTTGGTCCAGGCTCTCAATTTGGCACTTAACAAACACTACAATGTGAGTAGCCTCCATTTTTTTTTTCTTTTCATTTTTCACTTGAAGTTTAAAGGTTTAGATATGTTAAACCACAGTAATTGGCATTTGACAATGATCTTTGACCACATATCTGGCTTGACATTGGAATTGTTTTTCTTTTGTAACCAGGATTTAGCTGCCACTATATCTCTGGAACTTGTGGAATGTTGTGGACAGTATGATCCTCAAGCATGTTCTATGTTCCTGGCCTTATATCAGGTAAGTGATCTCAAACAGAAACTCAACTGGAAATAAACAATAATTAATTGAACAATTAATAGATAAATCTGACAATAACTATACAGGAGTTAACTCCCTTAGATCATCAAAATAAGGAATTCATATATCATTAAAGTAATGATTGGTCTTAATTAAACTTTATTATGTAACAATGTTTGTGTGTCTCTGGTCAGGACTAAAGTACCATTTATTAGTGTTTGTGTGTCTCTGGTCATTCTTTATTGTGCCTACACAGTAAGAATGTTTGTGTGTCTTTGGTTGAAATTCAAATATTTCTTGTGCCTACACAGTAAGATTGGTTGAAATTCAAATATGTCAGTAAATTTGGCCTGCTGGTGTTAAATGAGCATCAATGTTGTTTACAGAGTTGCTGTACGTCTCTTAAACTTGAAACACTCCTGAACAAGGCCCAGGTCGACCCCATGACCTCTCGTCTTGCCGCACTGCTCCATCAGCGGTCAGACATTTTGGAAAATGACATCAGCACAAACATGTCCAGCGGCAGCCTGATGACCTCTGTCCAGACATCGCTTGAGCAGAACTGGCAGGTGAGTAATAAGAATAATTCCTGTTTTAGTAAGTACTTCATAATAAAGCATGGATTTGGTCAATGTTGAAATATACAAATACATCATGTATATGTCTGGTGAAATATTGAATAAATTGTATTTTTTCTTGTATATACATAAATGTTTCTGGTTTAAAGTACAATACAGTAAGCATGTTATGCCCTGCTCCATGAACAGTGCATCATCACATCATATTAATGAATGAGTGAAAATGGGTGCAATCATTAGCTGGGGAAAAAGTTTGATAAATTAACTCGAATTTCAAAGTAAACACATACATTCTCATTATTTTGTTGATGTACAAGAAAGGCATAAAAACATATCTAGGTATAGTAACCATTAAAATTAAGTAAGATATTTTAACATCAAAATGAAGTAACTTTTTCTAATATGATAAATATCATTGATACAACAGAAAACCTTAGACTTTAAAATAAGTCATTGTCTCAGTATCTCCAGCCTTCAGATACATATATATTAAAGCATTGAGATTTTGTTTTCTGTCTAGGCCTGGAAGAGACTTGAGGTGATGCCCACCCATCTGGATCTGATAAAGGAGTTCCCAGCCAACTTCAACTTTATCATCCTTCAGCATTCTCCAGACAAGTATGTAGGATACACGCTGCAGCCATACAAGTCATCAAACATTTCCTTTTAATGAACAATGATTTAATTCAAAAGTCTATAAGACAGTACATATATCAATGTACATCTAAGAAATACAGAGTATTTTTTTAATAAGTAACTATGGTAATATATGTATATTTGATAGCATCTGTTTTTCCACGTGGTATACTTACAATAGATTAAATTCACTACAAACTTGTGATTCTAGTAACTTATCTAGAGACTTAATCCTCCATCAGCTGTGGGCTTTTTTCTGGAATTTGAAAGATCTTTCTAGACTAATTTCCTCTTTGTATCCAAATTTTTTTTATGGGAAAATGACCATTCAAAATGACAAGTAGGTGGTACTTCATTACACTTCAAACCCCCAGACATTCTTGTTATCAGTTAACTGCTAAGACCTAAGGACAGATGATAAAGATATTTAAAGAGTTATCAGATTTTCAGAAGATGCTGGTTTAAAAAGATATTTCAGGATATAGCTTCTGATTTTCATCAACTGACTTGTTTAGTACCTGTATTTACATTTCCTTTGCCTCAGGCAAGTGTTTGGAAACTGGAAACTTGATGTTTACAGCCAATTGTGTTGATTCATTGAAAATTCAAGGCCATTTTTCATTGAATAATTCTGAAGTAGTGAATTAAGGATGAGTGAAATGATAATTATTAGAAGAGGTTCACCTTTTCACAGAATGTCATTTTTTCCCCTAGAAACTTCCTGTATGGTGCAATTTTAGACAAGCCAAAGAATGCTCCTGTGGCTGGAGGAGGCAAGAATCCAAAGACAACTGCTCCACAAGGTCAGAATAATTAGAGGGTTTGGAATGATACATATATCCAGTATTCTAAAATAATGGTTACATAACACATTTTATATTGGATAATTTCATGATCAAATCCCCAATATACTCATGAATTCTGTCACTTACCCAAAGATGGCAGAATGAAAGTGGAGAGGGGAATGATGATAATCATTTTGACATGTTCCAATTGGCTTTTCTTCACTTCAGGTGAGATTGTCTGTAATGTCAGAATGTTGATAAAGATGATGACTGTTACAGTAGGTGATATTCGAACTCCAGGGATCATCTTCAGTTATAATATCACAACTAAATAAATTCATGTCACCTGGTACTTTTTTCTACCTTTACTGTATAATGCACAATTATACATAAATCCCAATCTCCATTTGAAAGAAACATACTGACAACTTCAGACAAGTTTTCTGTCACATGTCAAAGCCTCTCCATGATGTCCCCTGTTATATTGATCCACTGAGAGACATGACAAAATTCAAATATGAATACCAGGAATCAATATAAACAACAATTTAGACAGATAATCAGTGCACAGAAACTTTTTAAGCCTTTGTCTATGTCTCGACCTGCATCCTGACCCGAATCTACTGACAACTTGACTGGAAAGTGGGTGGAGCTTCTTTCTCATCAATAGTTGAAAGGGGTGTTTTGACTGGCTAAGAATATGTGATGAACTGTTTTGAACAAAATTAGTTAAATTGAAATACCTCTACATAAAACCCCTAACAAATTTGAGATGTCTAGATAAGTAATGCTATAGAAGACAACTGAAGTCAGTTTACATACATCATTTTTACTTGATCAATTAATTAAATGATCTTTTTTGAATAACAGCATCCAGCAGGGCCAAGGTGTTTGGTATCCAGGTGAACCCTGACATGCTAGAATCCCTGCTTACAAAGTTTGCAGACCATCGCCAGGCCATACAAGCATTGCTTCTGAAGCAAGAATATGCCCGTGCCCAGGCTATGATGAGACAGAAGATGTTGGAGAACCTCGATGAGAGTCTCAAACAAAAGACACAGGTCTGTTTAACATTCAGCCTTAATAAACAATCATGTAGATTTATTATGTCAGAGAACATGATATGAGTTACATAATTTGGTTGACACTCGGAGAAGATTTGTAGATAAGATAACCAGCTTTTTTCTATGTAGACATAAAGATAACATGTTTGATATTCATTAAGAGGATATTAAAAGACAAGTTTCTCTGTCCATGAAGAAGAAAAATGACAATATGTACAGGAGGAGAGATGTGATGCTGTAATCTCCATGATATACCTATAGACACACTGATGGGAACAAATTATTCTTATTTCTTAACAAGATTTAGAAACAGCATGATATCATATTCTTGGTACAGAAGATTTTAGGATGTTTTCTATTTCTCCATGTAGATTAGCTTTATGAATACCTGTATACCTGACCATGTAGATATGCCATTATAGTTAGACTGATGATGTTTCAGACCCTTCATCTAGATGAAGATGCTGAGGAGGAGGCCATGTTGTTAGAGGAGTTTGACCAGCTTATCAAGGACATGGAGTCCTACCTTCAGCCCATCACAACATTTCTACAGGGCATGCTCAAGTAAGGTTATCAAAATATAAAAAAACAGATAATAAAATCTAGAGTTTTTCTGGTTGTCTTTAGTTTCAGATGAACAATTTTTGTCTTGTGTAAACTCAATCGACTACATGGTATAAAAATGTCCCAAAGTGACAATGTATTGTTATAACTGCTTATCTCAATTGAGGTCATTTTTATGATAATATTAATTCATTTGAATTTTCTTTCAAACAACAAAAAACAAAAATCTGAAAATGAAAATAAAGCATGTTTTGTTTTTGTTAAGTGATGTAAATTTTCCCTATAGTACCCAAGTGGTGACCCCAGCCAGTGGTAAAGAAGCTAAGAATGCCCCAGTCGAGCCTCCTCCAAGTATTGAGTGCGCTATCCTCCTGGTCGACAACTATCTCATGCAACTCCCTCTTGAGGCCCTTGAGTTCCTACAGGTGGAGAATGTTGCATCCCTGTCACGTGATTTTTCACTACAGCTTTTCTATCACAGATTCTTCAAGGAAGAGGTACCAACAGGTATGTTTTCTGTTCTGTCTCTGCCACACTACGACAGCAAAACAACCTTGTCTTTAGTGTGTATTCCTATGTTTTACAGAGAACTCTTACTTTGGCAGACTTTCATATTTTTTGACTGCAGCTGTTGCCATCAGATTGGTAGCACGCCATTTAAAGATGTCAGAACCAAACACAATCATCACTTTTTTCCTGTTTTTGTCTTTTGCATAACCTGTCTCCCTTGGCATTATAGTTAATAGTTAGTTATGCAAAATGCATAAGCTATGAAAAAGGTAAACAAAATATTCATGCAATGCTGAATTTTTCAATACAGGCAAGCCTAAAGGTAAGCCGAGCTCACCTAGTCTAGCTGTTATGGGTTAGTCTTGTATATCTTTACCTTTTTATCTTCAAACCCTAAAAATGACCTTCTTAAGAGCAGTTTACATACTTTGGTACATGGCTTATATCTTCCAACAACCATGAGGTATTCCTTCCTACCCATTTTGTTAAAATATTTATTAATGAATATAAATTATTTCATTGTTGACTTATCTCTCTGAAAACTGGCAAATTTTATCTACAAAATAATCATTGATTCTGTTTTCTGTTAAAGGATATGCTCATTTAAATAAATCCAATTTCAATGATTTGATTTTGATAAAATAGAAAAAAATCTGAAAGGAGTCACCATATTAAAGGGTTTGTGATGACAGTGATCCATTCAAACTGGTCTTTATCTCTGCAAGAGTAGCACTAACTCATGTATAGTTAAGTACTTCTCTCAATTAAGTCCATGTCTGACAATTTGTTTCATATTTTCTAATTGCTAGTGTAAGTTAGAACTTATGTTATCAACAATACATCTAAGTACACTTACATAAAAACTGTTAAGTAGTTGAGCAAGAAGAGGATTGTCATTGGCTTGAATAGAAGGATGCATTCAGTGTATTTATCTTTATTGGCATTGTTATCAATTTTATGATTTCATTTATCATAATGTCCAGCTGTACTAAATATGGATTGTTTGAGATTTAGTGCTAGATCAACCACCCTGCTCTTGATTATCATTGAAAAATAAAAATCTACTTTCAATTCAAAAATACATATCAGTGGCTGCAAACCCCATCTTTTTTCTTCTCCCATAATTTTGGTGTAATGCACTATATTTTCTTTATTTCGGTGTTTGTATACAAACCTTTGTTAGTTTTAGTCTTAAACTTTATTTCTTTTTTTCTTTGTATGCATATAAATTTTATGAATTATTAATTATTCATTGGCTGGGTACTTTCACTAATTAAAGATTTCTCTAATTTCTGAAAATGTTCCCAATTTTTATGAAATTGATGATGTCTGTTGCCTGGACAATTTGTTACTAATGTTGGTTTTCTGTTATCTCTTTCTACAGAAGATGGTAGGTATTGCATGTGAGGGTTAATGAACGATGTAGTGTTAATGACATGTATTAGATCTGTGTACTAGCCAACATATCAACTGCTTCATATTCTTGTACATTCATGTTAATTGTCCTATACCAAAAATTCAAATACCCCTATATAAACATTTACTTTTGGTTTTTTTTTTATATCATATAATCAATCGTCTTGATTAGGCAGACTTTATAATTGTACCATTATGATTTACACTCTTTACATAAATGTACTTTGTATGAAGAGGTAGTTAGCTGAAAAGTTTAAAAAAAAAAAAAAGAAAAATAGAAGACTTTTGAGTTTTGAAAGGTTATTTTACAATAAGAGTTAACAAGTTATGTAAGTAATAGCATATCTGGTGAATCCGTCTATATTGACGAGATAGCATATTGAAGTATGATATAATGATAATTATTATTGTGCCACGTATCAGAAATTTAATACTTTCATTCATAGTCCCATCTCTGTATTGAATATTTCAAAAATATTAAAATCATTCAAATAATTAATATTTATAATATTCTAACTAAAGATGTCATAACCTGACAAATGATGTTTGGTGAAGTTGTGTGTTATAAGGTATAAGTTTGTGTTTATGTCATAGCCACAGGAGAAGGTAATTTGTGTGAGACCAGGGCACCCACAGTGTTTGTGTGACTGGCAAGACTTAGGGGATGGAAGTAGTGGTCTGGTTTTAATTGTTTGTTGGTAGAATGATGAAGATTGTTTTTCCAGTGTGTACATTTTTTTATCAAAATATAAAAAGAACAATGAATTTTAGTTTTTTGTTAAAGTAATTCAAATGTTCTTTCAAACATAAATCAATTTTTAATGTGATGTTTAAATGATTTTAATATTGATGCAACTGTATCCTCATTGTTTAAAAAGTCCCAAATTTCTTCTGTGGTCATATGTACAAAGTTTATTGAGATCTTGAAGTCCACCAATTTCCTTTTTCATATTTCAAGCCCAAACCCCTCCCTACAAATTGTCCGTCTTTGGTTGTAAATGATTTTACAATTTCGTATGATCTTTTTTTTTTCTGTACACATTTTTCTCTGTTGTGACCTTGAGTTAGAATATAGTTGTATTTTTGTGTGGTGAGTGGGTGATGGTTGTTGACTGAATAAGTAAAGTAACAGTAATGGTTTGTTGTTTGTTCAGATTGCATTGAAAAGTTTAACAATTTGAAATAGGATAGGAAACAGTGTTGTAAAATAAACCAGACATACAACTAAAGATATGAAATTAATATCTGACTGCTAATTCTTAAAATGTTGGTGTTTCTTAATATATATTTATATAGCTATATATGAATATCAGTTATCAATCCTACAACAGCTATTAGATAATGAAAAACTTAAGTTATCTCACACAAAATATTTAATGACATTGTGGCTAATATCATAGTATAACTTTATCAATTATTGTTTCCATTGCATTAACTAAGTTTATCTTTATTCTGTTTCAAATGATTTTCATATGGATGATTAAGGTAAAATGCTAGATATGTGTTTCATTTCATCGAATCACATTTATCTCATAGCATCATTAAGTGATAAATAATCTTGAATGTATGAAGTTAAATTGGGCCAACAAGGTACTAGTTTTTCAGATATTAGTGGAATTTCTGCTAGATCCTAGATACAGTATAGACTGGGCATAGTATTTGTTTGAAGTAGTTTCCATCTTTTCTCTGGAGTGGAAATCTAGTCAGGTTTCTGCTTTTGCTTGAATTAAAACAGTTCTGAAGATCGTTTGCTTGTTTCACCATGCTCGCTTGGAAAGATGAAAAATCAAATAAATTTTTATCCCACAATTGGAAAACTTATTTTATTCCTGAAAAAGCAATGAAGTAGGTAAACAAGATGTAAAATCATTTTTAAAATGAGTACCTTTTTACTGAAATATTAGATCTCCCTAAAACTGATAATACCCTGAAACTATTGTCCTGGAAAAACCAGATTCCCACAATACTGATATGGTCCTGGAAAGAAGTTTCCCACAGTACTGATGTTTTCCTGGAAACACCAGTTTCCCAAACTACTGATGATACACCTATATCTAGTGTCCTGGAAATGCCGGTACCAAATTTCCTATAGAAATAATAAAACCCATGAATCTGTTGTCTTGGAAATGTGAGAATTCCTCTGTATTAATGATACTATTGTATCTGTTGTCCTGGAAACACTGTTTGTTACACTTATATGATGTGTGACTTTGTTGTAGGGGATCATGTTAAATTTGCTGCAGACTCAGCCAGTAAGACAGTTTTGAGGAGTTACTCCTGTTAACATTGATTTTATATTTTTTGTTCATTGTTAAGTCCCATCCACAATCTTCTTTAACTGTTTAGTTGACCAGTTTGGCAAGGAGTTCTGAATTACAAAAACGATAACCACTGATTTTGTGAGAAGTGTTTCCACAGAAATTTACAGTCTAGAATCATGTTGAAAAACTTTTAACTATTCACCATAACCTGCTCTCTGTTAGTTTGTTAAATCACACTAGTTTTGTAAATTTCGTTCACACTTCATGTTAACAACTTCAATATAGAAAATAGTAAATTTTGATTTTTAATTAATTAATCCTCTCAACAAAATCAGTTGCTCTTGTTAATTCTAAAAACTTTGTGATTTAAATTTCATGTGTTTATATTTTTACCATCAGTAATTACTCATAGAGGATGAAAAAGTGGAAATTATAAGACACAGAACAAAATTTAAGAATTAGAATCATAAATGAATAGTTGATATTGATTTAACTGATATATGAATTGATTATATAAGTAAGTATATTTGTGTCAGGTATTTCTTTTTTACAAGTATAAATTATTGTGTATTTCACTATATTCCAGTATTATCATATGCTTCTGGTATTCCATGTTTTAATTAGTTTTAGTTTAAAATTAAATATTAAATGTTTTCTGTTACTGTACCATTTGTTTTCACAGAGGATGTAAACAAGAAGAAACCAAAGGGTCAGGTGGACAACCCAATGTCAAGAATCCCTGGCCTCAGGGATGCCAGCAAAAAAATGGCCAAGATTGTAAGTCATATACAAAAGATGGTCAAAATTATTCATATGAGATACAGTTCACATAATTTTGTAGATACAAGCTGCATCTTGAATTTGAATGAGAAATCACAGTCTACAACAATATGAACATAAGTATTATCTACTGAAAATTGAAGAGTTCCACTAATACCAAAAGAATAAAGAGTCTTTAATGATGAGCAACTTTTTTTATGCATATTGTAGGTTCCACTTACCAGAGAGATAGCACCATGGCAACATGCTGTAGACACAATGAACTTCAGATGTATCCTTTCGAAAAGTGCTAGTTATTATTTTGGTAGATCTTCAAAGGTTGTAGTTTTTCATCTGCAAAATCTAATAACCAGTATTAAGATATTATGACATCTGTGCTATCACATTGTGACTTTTGAGGAGAGTTACTAACCTGAAATATAATCTCTTAATCTATGAAATTACACCAGGGGTATTACTTATGGATCAAGAGAGTAAACTATTTGGTTTCCCTCCTTCTTACCCTGGCTGTAACCCCACAAAATATGAAATAATACGGTTGAAATTAATGTCTTCAGAGTCAAAGTTGAACACAAGATCAGGTATGAAATGTGTAAAGTCACCATATTATTCCACAGTGAAATTGAAGACAAGTCATCGATGTATATTAGAATACAGTAGGTTCTACATGTATTACATGCGATATCAATCATGTTCCTTGATTGAACCAGATATTGTGGACACCCACTTGGATTGTGCAGAAACGGGTATGTATTTCCCAAAAATATGAGCCCTGTAGTCCCAAATATTTTATCCATATCCCCTAATCTTGTGACTAGACCCTTGACCTCCTTAACATTGACCCTTGGTCTCTGTGTCATTGACCCTCTGGCCTCTGATTCTGGGACTTTTTCCTCTGTCTTTCTAGTGATACTGCATCACCCTCTTGAAAGTATTTTGTAACCTGTGATTTTGTGACACTGACCTTTTGACCCCCTGAATCTTGTAGCATTGACCCTCGGGCCTTTAATTCTGTGACAATGACCTTTGACTTCTAACTCTGTAATATGAATCCTGTGACTTTAAATCTTGTACATGGACCCTTTTACCCTAGGTCTTGTACATTGACCTCTGACCCTCTTGGTTCATCTGCCTGTTACATTTCTAGTTCTGTATGTACAAGTATTATAACTTGGTCTATAATTGATGATTATGTAACTTTTGATAAGGTGAGGTAAGCTGATCTCATTTTGTGTGATATTTGGTTACAGAAGTGGATAAACCAATAGATGTGATAAACCGTTTGATAGACGAATACGATCAGCAATTCACGCCTCGCTGGCTCGGCATCATGGGAGATGACCACACCCCTAGTGTTGGAGAGTGGGAGATATATCTTACAGAAAACAGCTCTTTCATCTTCTATGGCATGGAGAAGTTCCTAAACTATATACCACCTGCCAAACTTACTGCTCTCAACATACCAGGTTAGTAATCACACAGATTGTCTGTGATGTAACAAAATCTGTTGGCTTCTTCAAGGTTAATAACACTTTTACCGGTATTTTAAATCTTGATTTTTGGTTTCATTTCATAGAATTAAGAAAATGTCGATGTGACTATTTTAGATAAATTCTAAATGTTGTAAAATCAAATCTGTCATATGTGATCTTTGAACGGAGGTAATAAATAAGGTAACATATGACAGGTGGTCTCTTGATACAGGTTCAGTGAAAATAACAAAAACATGCAAATTAAGTTCATGTCCAGTAACTAAAATATTATGATATAGTCAAAACAAGAAATATAAGTTATGTATTATTATTTTCTATATATTATGGTATTGATTCTGCTCAGAATTTATTTAGTAAGGTATAACCTCCACTGTACAACTGTTTAAATCTAATGAGATGAATGTATTGTTGTAGATTGTAGCATACTGTATATCCAGGACTTGGCACAGACTAGTAAGAGCTTCACCAGGCAGTCTAAACTGGACGTTCTTAAGAGGCAAGTCAAATTTTACTATACTTTAATCTTTTTGAAATATGTGTTGCCTAATTAATAAATAAACCCACACCTTCTTCAGAGACAAGCCTTCCCTTGATAATGTCATTCCTTTTGAGGCATCTCTTTCTAATGAAGTAGGTTATTCTTTACCATCTCATATATCAAAACTTGTGTGTATTTCTAAAATGTATGCTTTGTTCATTTCTACAGTGCAAGCATTCTGGCCCTAGAGAAACCTGTGGAGACAGCCATGTTGGTCAGTCTGACTGGAATCAAGTGTCTTATGGCCAATCAATGGCACTGTGCTCTGGCAGAGAATGCAAATAGGTTAAAGACCAACATGAAAGGTAAATCGTAGATTTTTAGTTTTAGTTTAGTTTTCTATGCAGTTCAATCTTGATCTTGAAGTTACAACAAGGGTTTCTTAAGATTAACATTAGTTATATCTCTAGAAGTGTCGGGCAATAAAGATTAAATCTCTCTATTAAGGCTTTCATACACAAAGTGGGGAAAAAGTCAGAAATTAGGAATATTTCAGGCTAATATCTTTGTCGTTGTATAAAAATATTTGGACTTGTGACTTTAATTAACCTTTGATATCCTTGTGATTTAAATTCCCTTTGGCTCAATGGCTAGAATGTCATACTGTAAAATAGAGGTCCTTGCAGAGGCATCACAAAACAATTATTTTTGTTACATAATACGTTTACTCAGTTACAGACTCTCATTTCAACTACATATACGTATAAGTTAACGACTTCAACTACTGATAAGGGTTCTAATATTGCCAGATGGAATGTAAGACATGTAAATATCAGTACACAACAATGTTGAAATCTGATTAATCTTGATAAGAGTGACTTCACTTTTGTCTACACTGTAAACATAGTGAAATCAGTAATGCTAGTATCTATATATGATAACCATTCTGACACTTACATTGTATTATATAACAGATATGTTGGAGGGTGGAAAAACTACAGGGGAGGCTTTGAGATTGTTGTTCACTCCCTACCGACGTCGGAAACCTGAGGAGGACAAACCTACTGAGGAAGCCGAGGAGAAGGAGAGTCACCGAGAAGATGAACGAGACTTTAGTGACCGTGATTTCGGTGCTAAGGAGGAGTTGCCGGAACCTGAGATGTCCTGGTACAACACTGTGTGTTATGGGCTTCCAAACATTGTAGTCACTCAACTCTCCGGCACATAATGTCAACATCAATGAAACTCTTGTCAGTGACTGCTTAGATGAGATCATGGACTGATAACTATTTGGAAAAAAAGCCGTTTGAAGAAACAGCTTAATATCTTATAAACAATGATGTAATAATGTATAAAGTTTTGTATTTGCTTTTCAATGCATGTTAAAGTACTGTGATATTTTACTAACATCGTTGCAGGGTACAGACAATTTAATGCTTTATTTGTCTGTATCAAGATTTACAGCTTTACTTTGTATACATAATTTTGTAAGAGAACTATGATGGGTTCAAAAGCATAGATGATCAGTTATCATAAAAAACTGTCAGCCTACTTAAAATAGAGAAAAAATAATACTTACATGAATTTGCTGATGTATATTAACTCAACATTCCGTCCTAATTGATATTTGAAATATGTGATAAAGCTGTGATATCTTTCCATATTGATGTATTATTTATACCAAATTTATAAAGTCGATGTTCATTTGCTTGTTTCAAATGAGAATATAATAAATTATTTTGTGTTCATCTGATTCTTTCTTCTTTAAAATTTATTGACAATTATACCGAGTTGACTGAGGTGAATTGCTTCAAGTTTGTTCAAATCAATTACCTTGACCGACTTCACAAAGGGTTCAAAGTCTTAAAATTAGCTTTTCTCAGTAACCAAAAGGCCAAATATATTTCATTATGTTTGGCTATAGCAAGCTTGGGAGAAGAGCCTTTGGGTTTGTTCAAATTAATTCTTTTGTCAATTTTTTGTCTTTATAAGCTGCAGAACAGATTAGCTTTCTGGCCCATTTTGTGTTATTGACTATCAACATTTAAAATGGCAACTAGAGAGAGAAATTCAAGAGTAATGCATCTCTGAAGTACTTCTCAAAAATAATGACAAACTTTATCAAAACAAAGATGTCTGCTAATCATTTTGTTATTCCCATCAATCTCGAATTTCAGCAGACAACAATCAATCAAGCTATGTCCCAGTCAATGATATGTATTGTACCAGTCTGATTGATCCAGTTCAAAAGACTGTTTTCTCTATCCATCACTATGTCCCAGTCAATGATATACATTGTACCAGTCTAATTGATCCAGTTCAAAAGACTGTTTTCTCTATTCATCACTATGTCCCAGTCAATGATATACATTGTACCAGTCTGATTGATCCAGTTCAAAAAAGACTGTTTTCTCTATCTGTTGCTATGTCCCAGTCAATGATATACATTGTACCAGTCTGATTGATCCAGTTCAAAAGACTGTTTTCTCTATCCATCACTATGTCCCAGTCAATGATATACATTGTACCAGTCTGATTGATCCAGTTCAAAAGACTGTTTTCTCTATTCATCACTATGTCCCAGTCAATGATATACATTGTACCAGTCTGATTGATCAAGATCCATGACTATTATGTGTATGCATCCTATCTGTGAACCAACATCACCCTTCCTTAATGACAGATGAGTGAAAGTAGATGTTGGGGCCTGTTTACACCAACCCTCCATTACTACCGGAGGAAGTCTATCAAGGAGGAGGTAATGGTGGCCACAGGAAAACTGGAGATATAGTACATACAATCTAGGGAACATATTCAAGTGACAGCATTGGACTAATGACAACTGCCTTGCCAGACCTGTGGGGACTTCTCAAGTTATACTGCATCTGAGTCCATTCCAGTGTCCTGATCCCACTCTTTGATGTTTCATCACAGAATGGGCAGGATCTATGACCCATAGAGGCAGGGTGTGCTTACCATGAAGAGACATGGACACAAAGCATATAATTTGTAACCATCCAACCAAACTAGTGACAAGTATAGCATTTAATAAACAGCGTTGAAAATCTTTGGACAAATTCATCTTTGACCAAACAAGAGGAGGACTAAAACGAATTCATGAAATAGACATATAAATCAAATCTGTAGTACATATGGGCAACAAGAGATGATCTATTTAATGAAATAAACATCCCAAGTGTGGAAACTTTTATCTGAATTTTGTTGCTGAGATGATGATGATGATGATGATGATGATGATGATGATGATGATGATGATGATGATGATGATGATGATGATGATGATGATGATGATGATGATGATGATTGATGATGATGATGATGATGATGATGATGATGATGATGATGATGATGATGATGATGATGATGATGATGATGATGACAATGATGTTGATGATGTTGATGATGATGATGATGTGTTAGCAATAGAAATGCATAAGAAAACAAAACAAGTATGATAAAGGTTTTATAATTTCAACAAAATAATGCAGGTAGATTCACATTCTTCTTCTTCATCAACTTAAAAATCAACATAATATAAAGGTAGAATTACTTATCAAAAGGAGAGATCATATAACAACTTTGGAATTATAAAATTGTATATATTTTACATTTAACAAAAATGCAGATTCTAAAATCATTTTATGTATTCCTTTATATGTATGTTTATTGAATAATGTAGTAAAGCTGTTTTTCAAAGGAAAAACATAGCACCGTAGTAACTGTCAAAGGAAGACAACTTAATTCTAGTCAACATCATAGACAACACCCAGTTGTTTTCGGACTTCATCACTAATCGTCATGACCATTTCACTATGGCGATGAGGCATCCCGGCACATTCCAGTTTACCTAGAAAGTAAATCATACATGTTAGAAGTGATGAGATGATCAGGCTTACTTAAAAAAATTTGTTTTCAATCAACAAACTTCAGAGAGAATGACAATTTTTATAGATTTTTATAATAAGAGACCTATAGGGGCTGTATTGCTCATCTGGCTTTGCAGAAATAGCTTCATCCAAACTAAAGGAAAAGGAATTCTAAAGGTTTATATCTATTTTCACATTGGGTTACTACTGGGGCTACAATCATTTTTGCTCTCTGCATCCCTGGAACATGCAATGGCAAACTCGAAGGTTCCATGTGCCACACCATGCATGCTTCAAATCAAAATGGGACAGAATCCTGCCATTCCTACTGATGGACGTTGAAGAATTTGTTCTATTTCCCACATTGGGCCTTGTCTCTCCCATTTCAAGAAGCCAAGACCAATTGTGTATATAAAATTGATTTTCCTTTGCCCAAGAATGCCTTAGAACAAATCGGGCAGATTCCACACATCCCTCAACAGAAACGATGTCAAAGAACTTGTTTTGTTTTCCCTATTGGGCCCGCCCCTCATGCCACAGGGGCATGAGACCTACAATCTATACAAAATTGATTCCCCTTCAACCAATAGTACTTAAGTCCAAATTAGGACAGAATACCAGCATTCCCATAGAAAAAGTAGAATTTCAAGAATTTGCTCTATTTCCCCTATTAGGACCTGCAATTCCGAAACAATAGGGTAGAGACCCATTGTGTATACAAGAATGAATCCTCTTTACTTAAGGATGTCTCAGAAAAAATCCAACCATTCCTAAAGAATTAGGATTTTAAAGGATTGCTTAATTTTCCCCTTTAGGTCCCATGGGAGGGTGATAACACCAATCATTTATTCGTATACAAAATTGAGTCTTCTCCTCACAATGATGCTTCTGAACAAACTTGGTCAAAACATGTTCATTCGTTCTTGACTGGTAGAAATTTGTTTAAAAAGTTGACAGAAAGATGATGCAGTATACAATAAACTCACTTGAACTTTACAGCCAGGAGAGCTAAAAAGCCTATATCCCTTGTTATAGATTTTATGGTGACAACACTACTCATGAAATCCATGAAGACAAAAAAAATAATGTGAAATCTTAAATATTTATCATTTTGTAGACATTAGTATTTGTAGATTAATAGTACAAGATAAATAGAATACATATGACTAACTAATTTTACAATACACAGTTAAAACAGGAAGTTATGTATCCTCAGATCTTCAGTGATCATTCTTTAACAAGTAAAAACAACACTTATTATCAATATTTTAGGTTCTGGAAAACAAAGCAAAACATAAATTATTAAATTTCATTGATTTTTAAAGATAGTTTACACATTGTATAAGGCAGTTAATTATGCTGGCCCATACACACCTTGTTAATATACATATAACTCAGCAACTCATTTTTGTATTGTCAGCAAACCACAAGTCTTGTACAATTCTCTTTTGTCACTTTCTGCTTTGATTATAGTTTGTTTCTCAGCAATACATAGGCCAGTAAAAGGCCTAATACTTTTCTAGCATTGTTTTTGATAAACATTCTTTATGCAATGTTCCCAGTTACCCACGAATGAGGGTAAAAAAAACCCAAATTAGTGAATTTCAAGACTTTTATCCTCGGTTTTCAACCACTCTCCAATATAAAACATTGTTTAGGTACACTACCCCCAAATTCGAAAGGCAAGCATGAACACTGTTATTTATAATACTTTATGGTCTGATGGAGACCAGGTAGCATTAAAACCCTGTAAGAAGCCTGTTTTCCCTTCCCATACACTTACGCTATCAAATACTTCAAACTGAAATGATTTCAAATTTTTTCCATTTAAAATATTATTGTCTGTTCAAGATAAACACTTTCACATTTTGGAAAGCAGATTTCCGCTGAGTTTTCTAGGATTACATGAAAATACAAACATGGTTATTACTTCACTATTTAAAGGTCTTCATGATTTTATTACATGATTTATCAATACCTAAAATAAATACCAGTTTATCACAGAAACTTATCATACCTTCTAGAATGGCCCTGCGAGCATGGTCTGCCTCGTATCTCATTCCTCCACTGTTGGAAAAGTTATATGCATGGCGCCCCTCAGGAACTTCATTGGTAATCACACCTGTTGGTAAAATGGCCTTCTCCGGACACCAAAAGCGGTCAGGTATCTGAAAATATATTTAGATTTTATATATACATATATATAAAAAATTCAAATAAGACAATTTGATGAATTACAGTTTGCCATTAAAAGTGAAATGATATGCAAAGAATGCATAGAAGATGAATTTGTGAAGGAACTAATTCTAAACATCAAATGTTTGTTAAACTCACTTTAACCAATGATGAACAGTGTCAGTATTACCGTGGCAAATAAATCTGCTGGATGTATACCAGAAATTGTCCCATTTTACTGTTAAATCTCATCTGATGACACCATGTATTTCATGGCATTTAGGTATGAACTGCACTTGATTGTATAAAAGTGAATTAATTCAGTTATATTCCAGTAAGTGGTATCACAGATTGAAATGAATAAGTGATATCGAGGCAATACTACAAATTTATATTGAAACCATCATAATTTCCTGCTTTAAGTCAAAGGTCAATATGCTGGTCAAATTTACCTACTTAGACCACTTTTAATATGTGACCCCTATCATCCAAGTCAACCCATTCTACACAAGTAAAGTTACAGTGAGAAGTAGTACAGGAAATGGAGCGGGGAAAACATCTTCATTTGAAGTAGGTTTAAGGTCAATATATGTGTCAGAGTGAACTATTTTTCATACACTACCTCACCTAGTTGAACCCCTGCCCCAAGTGTGAAGTTCCAGTGACAGATAGTGTAGAAAATAGAGCTCAGGAAATCTCGTTTCTTTGATGTAGGTCAAAGGTCACAATAAAGGTCAAAGTAACACACTGTCCCATCAAGGTAAAGCCATGTCTCAAATATATAGTTTCTTTGTCTGTATAGTGTAGGAGACAGGGCCAAGACAAGTTAAATTATGGGAGAACAGAAGAACAAGTAAAAAGAATTAATTAACTACACACCTCGAATCTGAGGTTGGGAAGACCAATGCATTACCAACTGGGCTATTGCAGACTCTAGAAAAAGACTGGTTAAATGTATAATAAAATGGGTTGAATATAGACTAACACCAAAAACAAAGTGTAGTATAATTATAAGTTACTACCTCAATGTTTGCTTTAGTTCCATGGATACTGGCAGCACACTGGATCACACACGTACGACTAGAGTAAGCTAGATTAGCCATTCTACCCCCCTTATACTTAAGGATGATACAGGCTCCTTCGTCCACTCCTGTCAAATACAAAAAATTAGTCAAAATTATTTGTAAATTATACAAATTACAGATACTATTATTAAATCTCCTGATTTCTGGTTTATTGTTATAATTTCCTAAGCCCTGCAAGATTGATCTTTATATTCAGATATATATTTCTGTATATCAGACTCAATGTTGTACTCACCTGTTATAACACATTACCAATATATAACACTTTTAGTTATGGTCCAAAGTTCACCATATTTCAAGCCTTTATCAATAAGATTTCTCTGTTTAATATGTTCCACTATAGTAATAAGATTTTTTTTCTTAATATATTTCTAGATTTCAGACCTTTTCAACTGAACTCACCTGTTACATAAAAATATATTTTATCTTAATACCGCATTAGGCAAGAATTGTGCATTTATATGAAATTGTCAGACATTTAATCAAATTCACACACCTAACTTCCCATTCCAGATAAATATAAAAAAATAATTGAAGACCAATCATATTTGAAAAAAGATCTGGTTTGAAAAGAGAAAAATGATGGAAGGGCACAGCAGTCATGGGATGAACAAACACATTGACATACACCTCTTCTTTTTTTAAATTGTTGATAAATGGTAATAACACAAAGAGAAATCAACATTCCTGGACAATGCTTTTCCTACAGCTTATATAGCTTAACTCTACAAAATATTTCATGATAAACCTCACCCTGTTCATTAAGCACTCCCTCTGCGACGATTTTCTCTGGCATTTCATCAAACACCATACAGGCCAGCTGGACTGTGTAAATGCCAATGTCCAACATACAACCTCCACCAAGTGCCTTCTCCTTAATTCTTGGAACATCTTTGATAGGAATGGCAAATTTGGCCGTCACCAACTCTACATCACCTAGGCTACCAGATGCAATTTCTGCTTTGATCTTCTCATAAATGGGAAAAAATCTACTCCATGTAGCCTGGAAAAGCAGCCATTTGTTGTGAACCACAATGAAGTGTGGGAACATTTCATGCCATATTCTAGAGTATTACCTGTTTATGATACCACATATAACAAGAGTGCCATAAAGCAGATAATCCTCAAGCAACACACACTTAAAACTTTATGCATTCAACATTCTTATTTGACTAATGAAGCTGCAGATTCTGTTTTTGTTGTCCTTACAACTTATTTTTCATGTGTTAAAGTATGAAATTTTTACTGATATTCATTTTTAGCTGTTCTTACATATTTATATACTATTTTGTCATGATGGGCCCTGAAGTTTGAAATTGTTATTGTCCTAGTGGCACAGGTTTCTCTAAGAAGTTCCAAAAAAATCTTTGTTTTCCAGCTTAATTGATCTAGACCCCTTACTCTAAAATCTACATGATTCATTCTGACAAAAAGGATAAAACTATGCCAAAATTCCTTTGTGCTTCTCTTAATTATGCTCATGGATTGACTAACAGATGAGAACCTTCATTGTACATACAGGCTTAGAGAGAGACTCTAATTAAAGACACCAATACCTTTCACGATGGATAGTCATTGCCTGTTATACTGAATTGCTCTCTTATAATGCTTTGATAAATCTTTGTGTCACATACACATGGACTGTACTTGAAATTCTGTATACATCTTCAAATTCAAAAATATCTCAAAATCCTGATTTAGATTGAAGTTTTAAAAGCTAAAATGTTCTTCCTGGTAGATATTTTACAAGACGTTGCAGTTGAACACATTGGTTTTATAAATTGTGTATTTTTTAATCTTATTGTTCCAACCTCATGAGTTACTATGAATGTCATAACTTTAGTTTGGCAAGAGAGAATAATGTCAATTTTGGCAGTTATAGTAAACACCATTAGAACAAAAGACCCAATGGACCTGTATTGCTCACTTGGTATTCAATACTGATCTCAAATACACGAGCATTTCATATCCCTGCAAATCAAACTCTCTTCAAACAAGATTCATCTTATGAATATAGCTGCCATATGCTTTTGAGTAAAAGTTGTTTAAATAGAAAAGCTGATGCTGGAAGAGTTTGATAACAGACATTGCACCATTGGATAAGCTCACTTAGCTATTCAGGTCAGATGAGCTTAAAACTTTATATCCCATATTTATTTACAATATTCCCTTTACAAATAACTAGTTTTATTAACTAGATACATAAATTCATAACATTATTATCCTGACTTAGTTGTTTAACTTTACCTCCATGAAGAAGAGATTTTTTTGTTTGGCTAGTTGTAGAACACTGTTGACCTGTCTCAAATTCAAGGCCATTGGCTTCTCACACAAGACGTGTTTCCCAGCATTCAACATCATCATACTTAACTCCATGTGATTGATGTGGATGGTGCCGATGTAGACAATATCTAGAGAATCACAAATGACTTACTGGTTTGTATGGTGTTAAACAATATCAGGTAAATAACAAGAACCCTGTGGGCCTTAACGGTCATCTGATTATAAAGATCTATATATATAGGCCTAAAATGAATTGTGTAACTACTCTACAACTTACAAAGAATACATTGTTGGTTCATATGAGCATATTCTTAATACATGCTACTACACAAATACCATTACTCCAAACCTATTGCTTGTTGAGAAAGAAATTTTGAAGATTTGAACACATTTGACCTCTGTGACCTTTAAAAAGAGAAAATGCAAATCACAACAACAAACTGGTAACCCTTCATCCCAGCATACCACAGGCCCAATAACAGCACCCTATGCCGTTTGTTTAATGAGAAGATGTTGCTTTAAGATTTTGACATATTTGACACCTGTGACCTTGAAAGAGGCCCAGTACCAGCACAATGGACCTTTTTGTTATTGAGAAGAAGTTGTTTAAAGATTATTACATATTTGACCTCTGTTACCTTGAAAAAAAGGTCAAAGTCATTCATATTAACAAACATCCTTCATCCGATCATGCTACAGGCCCAATATAAGAACCCTGGGCCTTTCAGTTATTGAGGAGAAGTCATTTGAATGGAAAGTTTACACAGGGTGCATGGAGCATGGCACATGGAAGACGAAACACAATGGCAATAGGTCATCCCAACCCTTCAGGTCAAAGGATGCAAAAATACCTGAAGACTGTTGTGTTCTCTAATAATTGCAGGTATCCACGACAATTTTGACATACTTGTATTAAACAACTTCTCAGGTGCATGACACATTAATATAAAATTACAATTCTTACAGGCACACCATTGTGATTTTTTCTTACCAACATTGGGATCCTTTGATAAGGCTTCATAAGAACCATATGCAATCTTTGCTCCAAACTTGTCCCCGAAGTCCTTGGCACTCTCCTGCTTCCTGGCTGCCACTGCCACAATCTATGATCATTACTTATCATCATAGACAAATATATTTACCCAGGAATATCACAATACAATGTACATAATTCAGGCAATATACATTTGTACATCAAAACCAGCATTTTTATCAACAAGGGATCACAACAATCTTTCCTGCATCATTACATGTACAGGGTATTACCTGTATTTGAGATCATATGAAAACTAGTGATATATTTGTATTTAGGAGATTCTCAAGGGTAGTCACTAATAGCCAGAAGTTTATTCCTTATTAGGTAATATTTAGTGCTTTGAACCTGTATTGTATACCTCATGTTCTCCGTCTGGTAGGGTTGTCATGGCAGAGCAGAAGTCGTTGGAGATCTTCCCTGCACCACAGATCCCCCATCTTAGGCATTTTGTTGTCATGCTTCACTGTACGAAGTTGATAATACAATATGCAAGATTTTGAAAAAGAAAAAGAAAAGAGTGCACAGTGGCGTTGAACAATATACAGTAGTCCTTTATGTTGTATTGGGAAGAATATATTTATTGAAATAGTAATGATAATTTGTTTTATTTATACATTATTCAAGAGATGGGTGGAAAATCGAAAGAAATCTTTGAACAAGAGTAAAATGCTGAAAAGAAAAGAGGGGCAAGGCAATAACTTTTTGAAATATTGTTGGGGCAATAACTCTTCTTTATACAGATAAATCAAATTGCTGCTCAGGAAACTGAATACAACTGCATAGCATGGTCATTAAACCTACCAAGTTTGAAAGACATGGGTTGAAAACGGAAAGATAAACATTATGAAAAACAACAAGGAGTAGTAACTCTTCCAAATACAGTCAAATCAAACTAACATTCACAGCTTCATGTGATGGTGATAAACCCTTCCATGTTTCAAAAAGATTAGTTGAAAACTGTGGGAGGAGATATCCAGGAAAATAGAAGTTCAAACCAGAAAGACAGAAAAATGCCATACCATAATATTGTAACCCTGGTAAATACTAGCCGCAATATACCACTCAGCTGAAGAGAACTTCTCTTTAGCTCGATTGGTCGAGTGTCAGACTAGTAAGCCTGGGGTCATGGGTTCGATTCTTATCAGAGGCATGGAAATAATTATAACCTCTGTTACAATTTTTTGACTTGTGTATAAACAATGCATAAATAACATAATAATAACATTATTAAACAAGAGATCCCAACACCACTTCACCTCTACTGTTTTTTTCTCTTCTTCCCTCTGTATTTGCTCTCAATTACTGGTATATGAAATTTGAAAATCCCTTTGGAGAAATAGTGAAATCCACCAAACTACCAAATTAAAGATGATAGCATGTCAACCGGATTGTGTGTCTGATCAGTGGTACAATCATAACAGCATAACTAGTATCCGGAGGGAACTTAGGTAGGCAATTTGGGACAATTCCATCCAATTCTTCTCAAGAAATAACAAAAGTAAAAATCATTGTCAAAATCTACGATGGCCATCAGTCAGTCATTTTGGATCTTGTGATCAGACTCAAGAACAGAAGGGCAAGAAAAGGAACCAAGGAGAAGATCTCAAAATACAGCAAAAATAATCTCTTATTTTCAAAATCAAAGATGACCACCAGTCAACCAGTTTTTTTTTTCTGATCATTCATAAAACCAAGTATTCAACTAGGGACCAAGGGGAACAGATGTGAAATTTGAGAAAGATCCATCCAATATTTCTTCAAAAATAATGATCACAAACTTTCATTATCAAAATGCAGTCCCAAACCCAGAAGGGCACAAAATGGGACCACAGGAAATCTGCGATTTGAGAAAGGTCCAATCTGTACTTCTAAAAGATAACGTTATAACAAGAACTTTTTATAGATGGACTATGTACAACATCACCATTTAATTTTTTTTTAATATTAAGGATAAAGTGATAATTTATTTGCGGTGATAGGAACTATGTAAATCTATAATATACTATTCTGTTGTAATATGTTGTTATATTTTAATTAATCAATCAATAGACTACTGTAATCGGAATTATATACCAAATCAAATTAAGTTGTGTTGTTCTAGTTTTTATCATGAGATTTCTGTGTAAAATAATTTTGAAATGGTCCCTCGGAAAGGACACCTGTTATCAGTAAAGGTTTTGAGATGACCTCTATGATCTTGCTAAATGCCAAAATTATGCTTTACAAAAACAGTGTTTGCATTACATTTTGAAATAAAGTAACAAAACTTTGATTAAACATATTTTAAAACATCAACAAAACCGCTACGTAAGCGTTCTTCTTTACTTCATCGATCAAACCTTTTTACCTTCCAAACTCCGTCCCGTTCACCTTTGAACCGAAGTCAACGTCGCAGATAAGCTTGAAAAGATCTCGTTTGCAACCGTTATTTTGGCGTGAGTTACGAAAATTAAAGATGGCGACGAGCCGTCGCTCCATGCTCCAAAATGAACCAAGTTCTCCTTCTCACAACGATCCTGGTCGAGATTTATTCGAAGCTTGTAGAAACGGAGATTTGAACAAAGTAAAGAAACTAGTAAATCATCATAATGTGAACGCGAAAGATACTGCTGGAAGAAAGTCGACCCCTCTTCATTTCGCTGCAGGTTTGTCTCCTTTTCCACCTTGGAACGATGTTATTGTTTACATGTGGATAATTTTGAGTCATTTAGACTCAAAGATAGTGAAATATAAACGATTTCACATAATACACATATGTTTTAGTAATAATTGTACATTATTCCATGTAAAATAACCGGTTTTACTGAAATATCAGTAATATTTCTTGACAACAAACCTAGACATAAAGGGTGCTGAAACAGCTGACACGTAACCGTCAGAGTCGAAACTTGACATGATACCGGTCTAAAACTGTCGTTGATGAATTTAGTAATTATCCATTGCATTACCTCATGTATTACAGACGACTTTCTCTGATTATGATTGATTTAACTTCAAAATCGAGATGTAGCTAAATCATAAACTCAAATTTATTTATTTCATCGCCATATTAACAGTTAATGATTGATACTTGAATCTAAAATGTAATAGTCTTGTGGCACTCGGAGAGAAGTGTAATTTTAAACCTACAATATATCAGTACATGGTAAGGTAATGATCATTGCGAGGGCAGTACATACAACGTAGGGTGTGATAACTCTATCAGAGTATATTGGACTTGAGCTTTCAAAAATATCTTGTCCTCTTTAAGTAATGACACAAAATTGAAGAATTTCCATAATCACGATAATCATGATCACTTTATTTGTAGAATAAAGGGGAATTCAACCAAAAAATCCCCAATATGCTCGAAGACATTGGGTACAGTGTCTAAATACTCATATTGTTGATCATCACTTAAAACAACAAAGAAGATATTATCATTGAATGTTTTCTTGTATATGTGGATTGAACTCTAAAGTATCAATAAAAAAAAGTTCCGTTCATCTTGACAGTTATTAAGGACCATCCTGTGCTGATTTGGTGTTGCCTTTAGCAAGCCACTTAACCCAAATACGCTCAGGATTGAATGCAATGGTCCTCTTGTATGTTGTTCACTGAGGTAACCACAAATCACAATGAAACCCTGTCTCACAATTCAAATGGCAGTGGTTGTTATTGGGTGATAAATCCAACACACACCAAAGCCACCTTTATACATATATATTTATATATAATGAACACTGAGCAGTTTTTGTCATATTAGAGTGCTGTTATGTTGACATAGCATAAACTAGTCCATAGGTCATTCTAGTATGATATAAGTATCATGGTGACAATTCTTGAGAAGTGAATCTCATGCATTACTAACTGTATCAAAAATGTTTATGTTTAGGAAACTTCTTAAGTGTTTAATAATTTAAAAATTGCTTGGCATTCTGATGCTGTTAGGTAGGTTATATATTTTCTGAAAAAAAGGATGGGGAAGAAGCTGCAAAAATCAAAGGTGAATTTTTTATTCACTAAGAATAATTATCTACTGACACCTGAGTTGTTAGTTTGTTATAAAATATCAAAAGCAAATCATCAAAATTTTCTTTTGCAATAAGATTTATAAAATCACTCAGCTTTCATGATATATGATATATGTGAAGAGATTAAGGAGAAATGTTGGCATATTTTGTTACACTATTAAAACAAGAAACTACACACGAACCTGTATGGATTGTTTTAGAACATTGTAATAGAAAGTAGGATGATAAAGCGTACATTATATGAAAAATATATACTTGTACCTCCTTGAAACATTTGCAATTTCGGTTTTAGCAAGTGTAATAGGTTTCGGTAAAGGGAATTAACTTGAATATGGAAAATAACTCATTTTTAAAAACTGTGTAAAAGTATCATGGCACTGCTTCATTTTTTCATTGTATCATATCTTCGCTTGATCCAATATATCAACATATTGAGATTTTTGGAAACTTAAAAAAGACTTCCTTGTACTGTAGAATATTTGTCACATAATAGCAGATAATTTACACCAAAAGTGTAAACAGAAACAAGTCTGGTGATTGACTTTTCATAAACTCCAGCTGCATTGAACATGAAACATGTATGATAAGAGTGTATACATAGCTCGAATATGGGAATTAAAATCAGAAACCTGACATTATTACCTCCCTTCCCACATGTGTCAGTCAGTTTTTTGTTTTTTTTTTTATTTTTTGATCGTCCAAAAACCTTCAGCAGTTTTCCATGGTGAAATTATCTCTAAACAAGTGGAGAAATGGTGGTAAAATATTGTTTATATAAACATTACTTGATTATCTGTGATTCAAGTTTTAGTTTTCAATTAATTTGGGAAAGGCAGCTAATAACAAATCAAGATGCAGACTTCTGTATCTTATCTTATTCTCACAAGAGTGAGAATAGTACATTGTAAACTGCTCACATGATACCAAGATATTTGAATAGCTGAAGCTTTTAAAATCATATCAGTGTTCACCTTTCTGTATACACTGTTCAAATTGAAATTAATGGAAAATGCACTCTGTAACATAAATTATTCTTTAAATCAATTTAAAATACTTCCTTTTATCACTGATTGTAATCATATCTCGATGTAATCAAATGAAAGTGAGAAGCCAGTCGTATCACAGCAATATTTGTGTACATTCATTTAAGGGAAGTTACTGAAACATGAATAGAACTTGGATTTTAAGTACTTCATTTATGTTGTTTCAGTTGTTCACTAATTGTATGTATGCAACTTAAAAGTTTTCTACTCTTTTGAAGACTTTGTCTTTGTACAAATTATTTTTTGTATATATTATTTAGTGAATGTGGCTTAATTTGAATTGGTTTTTTTTATCCGATTGCTCTGTGTCCGTGGTCCTTCATCTGTCCATAGACAATTTATTTTTGTTATTGCTATTTCTTGGGAAGTCCAGGATGAATCTTTCTCGCACTTCATATGTAATTTCCCAAATGTCCACAGTTGTGCCCATTTAATTTTATGTCTGATCAGAAAATCAAAACAGCCGAAAAATGGCCATCTTGGATTTTGACATTGAAAGTTTGTTATTGCTTTATAGATCTTTCTCAAATTTCATGTGTAGGGTTCTTTATCTTCTAATTGTGCCTATTTGAGTTAAGGACTGATCTGAAAAACAAAACAGCCAACGGGCAGCCATCTTTGATTTTGCCTGGTAAAGATTGTTATTGCTTTTTCTGAAGAAGTACTGAATGGATATCTCTCAAATTTCATTCGTATGTTCCCTTTGATTTCTTCTTGTGCTCGTTCGTTTTTTGGAAGCAAAATGGCTTCCAGGTGGCTTTTTTGGATTTGGCAGGCAAAGAAATTATCATTTATTTCTGCAAAGAAATGTTCAAATGTCTTATCATTAAGAGCAAAAACAGAGAAGAGAAATGAAGGGAAAAGATCCAACTTTCTAAGAGCATATAAAGATAAAACAATGGTGGGCATGAAGATCCCTCTGGGATCTCTTGTTACATTAAGAATCAGGAAAAATTTGGACAAGCGCTGTATTTAGTTTTTTTGTAGATAAATGAAAATTAAGTGCTATCCCCAGTGTTGTCATAGAGCTCTCTAAAATTGGAGTTGACAAAGTGTGGTGTTATGAAATGGTGAGACTGTCTGTTATAGTTATTTCAAAATGGTCACAATCAAATTAAACCAAAAACTTATTTTTATCTGTATGAAGATAGCATGTTTACAAATGATGAACTGTTAGACTAAGGACATGTTTTCGATCTATCAACAACAATGAGGTGATCCAGTTGTCTGAGATAAACCAATACAGTATTAAAACTTGTACCAATGACTGAGTCTGTGCAACAAATAAAAAATATGGCTGTTAAAATATCAAGTGATCACTAACATGTGCAGACTACTGAAAAATTGAGTGGAAGCTAAAACTCATTTAGCATAAATACTGGTATTTTGTGCAGTAGAATATCCATTATATGCAGGTCCATTGCACTGTGACTTGAGTGGGTCACATGTGTAGTGTATAGGTACATTTTGTTTACATGGTGCTGATTGGGTGTTTAGCCAGACAGACAGTGTCCTACTTGATTCCTTTGTTATGACAATTTCTGCCAATATATTGACATGGATGAGTCTAGGAACAATTTCCTAGATTTCTCACTGCATCACACAAAGTCAACCTAACATGAACATAATAATACATCAGTGCACATTCACACAGATATAATAGTGCAGTGTGTTATTCAAATTAACGATAATTACTGCAGTGATTGAAATTGTACAGTCCTCATTAGTTCACAAAGGTACTAGTTCTATTGGATCATTGGTAGCTGAGATGGCCTGTAAATTTTTTAGTTATTCAAATAAAAGACAATTGCATTCTTTCAAGGTCATAGAGGACAAGGACGATAAGATCTTTTGATATGAACCTCTTGAAGACTCTCTAGTTCTAAAATTTTTAGGTTTTCACAAATACATAGTACATATCTAAAAGAAAAATTTAGGCACTGGGATTTTACAAATGACCTTGACAGTCACACATTGTTACAGGAGCAAAATAAGATAATTATTGAAAAAGCAAAGGGCTATCTGTCTCTAGAATTGCTGGTGTGAGGATAAGGATACTTCACTGTAGCGCCCATATTTATCCTGCTCTAAGCTGAGGTGGTCAACATACCAATTCTGACAGAAGGGATGGGCAGTTTGCAGGACGATGGCATAGCATTGGTTTTGTTATTCTCCTAAGAGCAATATCATATGTGTTATTGGGTGCACTTTAATATTACAAGGCATGCTATTATTTCCAGATCGGTATTGATTGTTTGAGATGAAAAGGTCAGGGGGATTCTTGTTCTTGACATTCTGTATGGTTTCTGATAAGCGATATCTCATCATCTAAGAAAGAATTATACTGTATATGAAATGTAACAGTAATATATCTGACAAGTAGATATGTGCCAATTTATACCCCTTGATACCACACTGGTTTTCATCAAGGATAATTTTTACAAAAATAGTTACACATTAATTCTTAACCTTCCCTGAGAGATTTGTTTTGCTATGGCCATGTGTCTTTCTGATCTTTAATCAGAATTGGTATTTTTTAAAATTTTTTATAAGTGAATGAAATTGAATAAAGAATATGTATGTATATATATGGTAAACTTTTTACAGCACCAAAAAGAAAACACCAGGTTACATGTAATGTGAACATGACAGCACTGTCTTATGATGTACAATTATGTATACTGGACAAACAACCCTTATTACATTCTACTGTTCTTTACAATGTGCTTTTTGTGTTAAAAATTAACAGGATTTGGGCGAAAGGACGTTGTTGAGCATTTATTGGAGTGTGGAGCAAACGTCCATGCAAAGGACGATGGAGGACTAATTTCTCTACACAATGCATGCTCCTTTGGACATGCAGAAGTGGTACAGCTTTTGTTACGTAATGGTGGGGATGCCAATGCTCGTGACAACTGGAACTATACTCCTTTACATGAGGCTGCCATCAAGGGAAAGATAGATGTTTGTATTGGTGAGTACAAGCTTATGATACATCCAAGGTTTGTCTGTGAATGTAATAATGTTTAATTTTTCTGTATAAAGTACACATTTAAAAGAATTTTTTCAAATATGATTTAGTCTGTATCTTATATGCACTGCTTGTAAGTAATTTTTCTAAGTTTTTGTCTGTGGTGCATGAATGAAAAAAGATGCAGATTTGGGAGAAATTGTGGTTGATGTTTCATGTCAGGAAAATTACATTATTTTGGCGACAGGAATTTCAGTCCTGAAACAGGGCCCTACAACATTTCAGAAACTTGTTATTTTTACAATTAACCACTTTTTGACTTGAGTCTAACAAATCAGGTTGATGTATCAAGTATAACTCTATATAGATTTGCAAGAAATCGTAAATATGACATTTTGATTTTTTATTCATGACACTTGTATTGTCTTATCTAAGAAAAAATATTTTATCTAAGAATTAATGATTTTAGCAAATTTTGTCATGAAGTTGTGTAATCAGAAAATTAAGATATCAAAGCTTAAATTGGTTGCCAATAAAACTATCAAAAGTTCATTTAGATTTATAATAGCACAGATAAGGTTTGCTTAGTTCTGTGGGACATCCTGTTGATTTATTACTGTCACCCGATAATGAAGTTTTTCTAAACAATGCCCTATGGCAGTGTGGACAGGACACCCAGTACATGGTCAGTCACACTCTCCAACTACAGCTCCAGCATGTCAGGAATTGACCAATATCATGTACTGACATACAGACCTGAAAGCTGAGGTGTTTACTCTGAATAGACAGGACATGGTAATGGTTGCCTCAGGTAGAGGTAACAGAGATGTCAACAGCTTATCAACAATGCTCTAAAGAAAACCATGACAGTGATTACAATCTTCTTTACTGGTGGCTAGCTAATGGCATTATGACACTGACTGATTTCTTAACATTGTCAAAATTTATTTTCTTCTCCAAGCTAAAAAACATTGAATGGAATCAACATTATAAAGTTTTGACTCAAAAAAAAGAGGAGTCATTTTTGATAAAATATTAATTTAAAGGTAAATCTTAATATAGTTAGTTTAAGTGGTGGAAAATATGTAGTAAAATTCCAAATATCTACAGAATGATTCTGATCATAATGGGATTTTCAAAATGAAACACACAAATACTTGGAAAAAAATTATTTGTCACTAATTGTGAAAGAAAAAAGATTGTTCCACACTTTTTCAAATGTAATATTTGAACCTTTGAGAGTACAGTATAAGTTATGAATTGCCATTACTCAATTATTTCAATTCATTGTTAATAAATGGAAATTTAAAATCAGATTTTTGCTTCTATGTTTTCATAAATCAATAAAATCAATAAGAACAAAAAACAAAGTACAACCTCTGAAAAGAAAATAAGCTTTATGGTTAAGGTGAGTAATGTATTAGATAATGATATGGGACTAAGTGATATAATTATCAGCAGACTGGACTGTAATCAGGTTAATTGTTACATCAGAAAGACATGTAAAGTCTGTGTCCACATATATGAAATGTTTCATCAAAATTTTAAAAGTCCAACAGTTTGATTGGGTCATCATGCAAATTTGATTTCCACTTGGCACCTGGTTAGTCCTTTTGATAAGCATTCAGGTGTGACAGCATTTGTTTGCCTGGAGTTAGTGACACTTGTCAGGTTCTGTCCACTCTATATTGGCAGGGGTGTATATACCTTACACTGGGTCACTATATGCAAATGTTTACCATTATGTTGCAGTTTGTGTCTAATTTATAGGGACAGTATCTTTCCTCTGTAGAAGCAGCAAGCTTTTACATACTTTAGTGGATAAGGGTGACACAGGTTGGTCAGTCTATATTACACAGCAGCTGGCCTGTGGTCAGTGAGTAGATTAACCCCTGGTGAGTTGTGTTAGGGTTTTCACTCTGACCACATGTGACAGGGGAAATTTGGAGTAGATCTCAGATAGGCATGGGAAGCTAAGTGATTATTAGAGCCCTACCCATGACCACATGTATCAGGACACAGCAGTGGTCAGACATCATTGTGGCAATAGTTTGTCCTCAACATTGTCACTTACAGTTGGATGTACTTCATTCTTCTTTTATCAATGAAAATTTGTGATTTTATTGGAGAATTTTGAAAATTACCCAGGAAGTGTAGTGTGTGATATATGGATTTACTTAACAATATGACACCAAAGATGAGGATTCTTTAAAGAAATGTGCTTTATTGTGATATTTGAATGGTACTATAGAAGGAATTATCATTTGTCCACATAATGCGATCCCGACGTGAAAAGCATAGGAGTGGTCGTCCTGACACCCAGGGTTATAGTTTATATGATGTTGGTCTGTCAGACATCTCCTCTATACACCCAGTAAACTATGATCACTATGAAACTGTCTCCTCCACAGTACTTCTACAACACTTTGCTGACCCCAACATCCGCAACACTGATGGCAAGATGGCAGTGGACCTGGCTGACCCTTCTGCCAAAGCTGTACTCACCGGTGAGAATATTTTTGTTCTTGGCTTTTTTATGCATGCTTGTTAATAGATGGATAATATGTCATTTGTCCTGTTGGTGTATTAGATAATCATTAATGAGTTTCTAACAAAAATACCAGTGAGAATGATTCAAAGAAAAGAGTTTCTAAACACATTAGATCAGTTTTTTCATGAAGAAGTCCATTGCTGCTGATGGTTCCTCTTTTAGAGAACTTTTGTATTAATAATCATGCAAAACAATTTTGGAGTTAAAAAACAATGTACTTAACCACAGATTTTGGAAATGGAATTAACTGAAACTTGTTGAAATTTTGGCAGTGAAACAGTGCCATTGGTAATTCATACCCCTTCCTGGAGGTAAAAATTAAAACAGTTCAAAATGAAAGTATTTCTTGCATGCTGTAAATTTTCTGTACATATATTCCGTTATGTTTATACTGAAACCTCTGTAAACCTTGTGTACTGTTTTCATCGGAGTTAAAAAATGAAAAAAAAATTTATTTAAGCAAAAGCAATAGTTTTTAATTTGAAATAGTGTCAGATTATTAACCTAATTTACTGGAAACTCTGTGTCAAGTCCAAATCTGGAGACTTGACCCAGGTGGTGATTTTGGTGAAATGTATATATCAACAGTGGATTAATTCTTTGAAAGGATGTTTATGATAAGGGACTAAATTAACTCCGCCATGTGTCACATCAGGTGTCACCTTGTTTATTGTAACTGTGTCTATCACAATAGCAAATTCAATCTGGGATAAATGGTACAGCTTGGCAAACATTCAACATCTACACCATTGATAAGTTACAATTAAGGCACCAGTAAAAACCAGGAACTGTCTCCTAAAGTTATATGTAAATACAGATGTCAGTAAAGATGGTCAGACTCTGAAAGGGGCCACAGCTAAATAAATTTACTGTTTTCCATTAAAATTAAAAGTACAAGTTTGTCTTTATCCCTAATTGAATTCGTAATTACATATAACTAATAAATTTATATCCAATTAAACTTGTCAGACTGACTTAATACTATGCAGATAAGACAGCTATATTAAGCCTTCTAATACCAAATAATGCTTTGCTTGTAATGATGAAAAAAACATGAATTTGCCCACATCATGCTGGGTTGTTGGTAAGTATTGATATCACAGCTGAGTATGGTAGGTACTGTAGTATTGCTAAGTATACAATTGTTGGCAATAGCATGGAGATATTTGTAAGATATTTGCCTTGGCATATGATCCAATTGTAGGAGAAAATGCGCTGCCCATTCCTTTCTAAAATTGAATCAAACTCAAAGTGTTACTACTATTTTGGTGCACTCATTGTTTTATTGTAAGATGTTATCAGTGAGGAAATGCTGAGCAAAAGGAAGAGTCACATCGACAGTAAACCTGTAACTAACCAACCATGTTCAGTGTGTAAAATTTTATTTCAAGCACTAGCCCTTGGCTAGTAGAGCCTTGATGTTCTTTTATGTAGCTTAGAATTTAAAACCTTGATTTTACTTTGTGCAATAATGCTCTAGATTGGGATGTTTCTTGAGATGTTAGTTTAAATGGAAATAGAAAGTTAGTTGTATCCTTAAGTGATTCTTTTAGGTTCCAAATTAAGGCCGGGGATGTATAACACCGTATAGTACTGCCACGTCATCTTGGCTGGTTCAGTGAAAATATGATATTATTAGAGAATAATTAAAATTTTAATGAGACAAACATTAACTTGAATTGCAAAATCATATTTTTTTTATTAATGTAGTAACATTAATAAAACTTCCAATAAGTAAGTTCAAAGTAACTCTTGGTAGCAAAATATTGGGTGACACAACACATGCTAACGAGGCAAATCAGGTTGCTGACAGAATGTAATCAGGCACGGAAGCCAGTATGTATAGTACTGTACGCATCACTCATCAAATCAATTAGTCAAGTGTTAAATTTTGCATGTACTGTTATTGGTAACATTCTGTATTTGTTTTTTAATGGTGCTGGCATTTCCACATTTAGACAAAGTAAGTGACAGAGTAACCTATGTTAGTATAGGTCTATTATCAGAAAATGTATTATAGAGACAATCAAGACGCAGCCAATCAAAATATAGTATGATATTGCATCACGATTTCTAAAAGTAGATGGTGAGGTTTTCCTCTCCTATAACTATGTAATAAACAGACTGAAAATGTAGTCTAGGCCTATGGACTGAAGAGAAATGCACAAAAATTACTCCAGGGAAACATGCATTCTAATGCACTATCCCTGGGCTAGCTGCAGACAACAATTCTCCTGCTGCCTGATCTCAAATTCCACCAGCCTTGGACGTTTTTTATTATAGACCTGAGATAGCTCAGTAGTGGAACATACTCGACACTGATCTATGGTATCCTTAGATTTCTGGATAATTCATTTCCTTTTGATATGATTCCTGAAAGCAATTTACTTCACAATATGACACATTTGTTGAAAAATCAAATTTTTAGGCGAGAAATATGTCTTTAATTATAATGCTTCTCTGTGTGGGTTTCATGTGCTTTCAAAATCTCCACCATTTAAATCTTGAAATAAAAAATGATTTATTGTTTTTGTAAATAGTTTGATTTATCTACAAACAAGGAACACATGACTTTTGTGTTGCCACCTAATAATATAATAAACATAAAATTTCTAGACAGTACTTGTACATGGTAGTTGACCATGAGGATGGACAGAGACTTATTTGTGTAACCCAATCAGAATGATGTTGTTGTCTAGTCAGTAAAATGGTGGGCCATGACATCTATTGTTGATTGTTGTCCTGTTGCTGATTGGTTACTCAGCTGGTCAGTTTTCATACTGACCAGTCATGTATCCTAAATAGAGTACAAATTTGATGTAAAAAAAATAAGGCATTAGTTGTTACATGTGGTTATTCATTTCCATTTTTAATATATGTTGTAATTCAACAGTAGAATATTATTATTCAGATATAGTTGCCAGCAGGCACCCCAGAGTTTTGTTGTTAATCTTGTAATTGGATATCCACTAATACAGTTGTGGTGATGGCAGTGATGTGTGTAATTATCTTCTCCTGTCTGCTACATGTCTGTAGGGAAATGGTTGACACATAATTCCACTTTTCATCATACAGTTTACAAGCCAGACAGCCACCAAGTATACTTGGTGTATAATGTTGTAATGTGAAACAAGAAAACCTGAAGTTCATGTTATTGTTAGGAAATGATTTTATAGAACAGGTCCATTATATGGTGGGTTGTTTTTTTATCATTGTCTGTTGTTCATCCAGCCAGATTAAAACCATTCTTTTTATTGCTATTTCTGGAGTTTTAGATTTGGGATTGATCGAGTAAGAAAGAAAAGAAAAAAAAATGGATAACAGGTGACCATCTTGATCTTTGACAAAGTTTGTTATCACTATACCAGTGAAGTACTGCATGGATCTTTCTCAAATTTAATTTGTAATTTCATCTTTGTACCTAGTGGTGCCCTTTGATTTTGGGACAAATCAGTGAAACAAAATGGCCAACAGGTGACAATCTGGAACTTAACAGTTGAAAGATTATTATTACCCTTCATTATAGGGAATTATAAAAGCAAACTCAAAAGACAGAAGATAAAAGAAGGGGATATATCCAGCCTGTAAACATTAGCTGAGAATCACCGACAATGAAAATCAAAAGTTAATTTTCTGTGAAAAATCATCAGATAATGTTGTAAGAAAGTGAGCAGTGTATTTCATGATGTACAGGTAGCACTATTTCTACCTGTAAACAAATAAGGAATTTAAAAGATCTTTTATGATTCTAATTCACTACGTTCAAACGAACATAAATCATTTATCATATAAAACTCAACACCTATATATGGGTGTGGCCTTCGACGGTCATACAACTTTATTTACGATATTTACAAAAAACCACACCGGGCCGGGCCCGTTCTAATGTCAATAATCTTCTGATTTAGAGACGACTATGTCGAATTTCTGGGGTGACAGCTCAGTCCATCATCATAAATCCTCCTGCTTGATCTGTATCGCTAGAAGAACACTTCCTAGCTTGGTGCCCTATGTAGCTACCTAATTAAGAAAAATAACAAATCGTGAGAAAATAAAGTATACGTATTCGTTGTTGGACCGTCAAGACTCGAATGACCATACTACACTATACCCGCCTTTGTTATCCCAATGACTCGTGTTTCACCTGTCTCACGTGCGACATGAAACAGTACGTCACAGCACACCTGTCTAAATGACCTTGACCCCTAAGAGTACACATGACCCCACATCCATTGTGTTCCGTAACTATAATAAATTCATTTATGATTCTAATTCACTACGTTCAAACGAACATAAATCATTTATCATATAAAACTCAACACCTATATATGGGTGTGGCCTTCGACGGTCATACAACTTTCGAAAATTAAAGATGAGGTGAAAATTATAATACCTGTCATATTCCCAGGCTCTTGCTGACCATGGATCTTTCCGAGATGTCCTCTTTTACATACCCGTCCTTAGCCTTGTCCGTCCTCCATCGTCCATGCTTTTTAAAAAGCCTGTCAGGTACTCCGGCCTTAGCAGCAGCCGTAGCACCCCCTGCTCTAAAACTATGTAAACCATACTTGGAAATATCCAAACCCAATTTACCAAGCATGTCCAACACTATTTCCCGGGACCTTGTGTAAGAGAGTCCTGTATTACCTCTGAGTTTATACGAATTGTCAGACTTACAAAATGTCAAGCTTCTAAATATGAATTCATCCGACGTGTCACCGATATCTGCCTTAATAAGATATCTCTCCAAGATATGAACAGGACAAGTAGATTTGCCTGTTCTAGCAATAATAACGTCTGCTCCCTCCCGGTACAAATCTGTTTTCCCTTTCAGAATATGTAATTTCATATAAGAATCAAAAAATGTAATATTAGACCGCCTTAAATTCCCTATCTCGCTGTATCTAAGGAACCCAGCATAACCTAGGATGCAAATAGCAATTGTACGTAAGTCAG